AGTGGTTGGGCTATGAGAAACACCAACAACCATAACGTACACATACTGAAGAAGTCGTGTCTGGGAGTACTCGTATGCAACAAAAGCTGTGTACTGGACAACAACGGCGGCCGAATCCATCTGAGGCCAGCCATATGCGATAAGGCCCGCAAAAAACAACAGAATAAGCCGTGTCCTAATCACAAATGTAGCGGCAAACTGGAGGTCCAGCCGTGTCGCGGACATTGCGGTTATCCGGTTACACATTTTTGGCGACACACCGAGTTTGCCGTATTTTTTCAGGTATTTTCAAACAAAAAATTAATAAATTTAATTATTAATAATATTTTGTTAATAAAAATATTATTATTATTATTTTGGGGTTTTTTATAGGCTAAGGGACATCACGATCATCCGCGACCAGAGCCCAAATCATCGGCTGAGGCCAGACGTGTCGGTCACACCTATAAGATATCGCGAGGCATATCACGATCGGCTCTTTTCATCGATAGTTCACTAAAGGTATGCTTCAAAACATTTTTTTAAAATTTTTACTTAAATTTTTGTTTTCTTTATTTGTATGAATAAATAAAAATTTACTGAATATGTAACACATATATTGATATATACTATAGTTTTTTTGTTGTTGAGTAAAGATTAGTGTGATTTAAACATTATGTATGTGTGTGTAAATTGCACTCAATTTTAGCCGGGTAAAACTAAATTATGTGTATATCTAAATGCCCAAAATTAGAGACTATTAACATAAATATGCTATTGCTTTAAAAAAATCACAATTATTATGAATTTTGATTTTTTGGGATTCAAAAGCACTTTCAATCTTTCAATACAAGTGAGGAAACACTGTAGTTATTTAAATAATTTTCTCAAACAATTAGTCTAACAAATAGGTGAACCCATCCCTTAATATATATATATATATATATATATATATACAGTATATATATTGACTTTCCTGTAAATTATTTGCTAAAAATACTGTAACGTATATAATAATTATATACAATATTATTACATATTTATTAGTTTTATTAGTATCTGTATTGATGTCTGTTATAATTATTACTTATTTAAATTGTTTTTAAAAGCTTAACTACAGATTTAATAAAACTAAATATTTAGCTATAGTATACTGTATATGATTTGTTGTAAAAAACATAAGAAAGTATATAATAATAAGTTACATATAGTTAGCAAAAATTTTTTTTTTGCATATGATTTGTAAGTGAAATTTAAAAAATTCATTCATAAATTTCAAGCAATTTTGTAAATTTAGTCTCAAATGTTTTACTTTCAAAAATATTTTTCAAAGATACTTATAATCAGTATATATATATATATATATATATATATATAATGTATTTATATTGTCTAACAAAGGGAACAATCCGTGGGAAGTATAGCACAAGTGGTTTGATTTTAAGCAAACGATTTGTCTATTATTTTATTTTTTACTTTTTTTTAGTTAAAACAGTTTCATTCCGCACCAATTATTTTAGTTTACACAATATTGTGTGTGTGTGTGTGTGTGTGTGTGTGTGTGTGTGTGTGTGTGTGTGTGTGTTTGTATATCAGTGTACTATAAAAATAAACCCAATAGACAAATAAAATAAAACAAAAATTTATTTAATATATATATATATATTGTATATACTTTACTGTACTGTATATTGGATAATATGTACAGTATTTATAGTATATATAAGAATTAAATGCCATTCAAGTATGGATAACATCTTATATATATATTATATATATATATATATATAATCTATTGGTTAAAAAATATAAATACTAAATGTTTACTCTTTCTTATCAGTTATTTATATCAATTTATATTGTTTTGTTTGCTGTTTGTTTTGATAGCAAATTAAATTTATATATACTATAAACAAATAAATTATTATATAATATAATTTATATATATATATATATATAAAGTACTATATATTTATTATTTTTATTTTTGTTTATATTAAATTTGTAGTTAAAATTATAAAAAAAACTTTATAAAACTATTTTATCTAATTTATATAACAAAAAATATATAATTATATATTAGTTAAGTTATATTGTTTTTTAAACAAAAAAATATATTGTATACATTGTTTTATCAATTATAAATATTTAACTAAATATATATACTGTATATATTATATATTGAAAATGTTTATCATTGTTTCTACTTAGATATATTGTATATAATAATAATTATAAGTTTAAAAACATTGATAAAAAATATTTATTTATATATATATATTTTTTTGATTAATAAACAGCATTTAAACACAAAATTAACTAAAAGAAAGTTATCATCGGATAAGACATTGACTGCTAATAATAGTAATAATATTATTAATACTAATAATAATAATACAAATACTGTTACGGCCTTACCATACATTACCGCCACTACTGCTAATGATTTAATGTATTTGGATGATTACCCGACCACTAAAAATGGTTAGTTAGACAAAACTGATACTTAATTTGATATTTTATTTATATTTTTTTAAAAAAAAATCAATAATAATTATTTTTAAATAATTACAATTCAATATATATTAGAGTATCCGATAAATAGTCAATTATTAGATGAGTGTAACTGTTTTGCTGTTAATAATAATAATAACAACTATGAAGATATGTTTGGCACAAGTTTTCAAACAACTGAATCCTATAGTGAATCGCAAACGTATAGCCGATTCAATACAAACCAGTATTCATTAAATAATAATAATTATAGTTACGAACCTATTTTTCAGGTAATGTTTTTATTTTTAAAACAAAAAATAAACTATATCTACATTTAAAAATTTGTATATATTTAAATACTATAAATTTTGCTATTATTATTATTATTATTATTAATTATTTTATTTTTTTAATTATTATAGATGGATGCGACCACTATTGCCAATGATATGTCTAATGCCATTGACAGCCATGTCGATAGTCTTATGCAAACAATGAATCCATTAAGTCATCAACAGGTAATAATAAATTTTAATAATTAATTATTTAGTTATGTATGAAAATAATAATATATTAACTTAATAATATCTATATATAAAATTATCCAATTTGAAAAAAAATAAATATTTCAATAGGTTAGTGATAATGATTATGATATGCAAGAAACAGTATCAGATTGGGAACAGTATCAAAAATATGACAACAATTCATCATCGGATACTAATAATTATTGTAAGCTTAATTAATTAATATTATAATCATATATATATATATATATATATATATATTTAATTTAATTTAATTTAATTTAATTTAATTTAATTTAATTTAATTTAATTTAATTTAATTTAATATTATCATTACTGTTAGTTTATAATCAATCAGATTATTATCCAAGTGGCGATAATAGTAATAATAATAATAATATTTATTACGATGATAATAATTGGTCATCAAATCATCATCAATCATATAAAACTAATAATAGTTTACATAATTATTATTATTATCATTATTATGATGAGGAAGAGGAGGAGGAGGATATGGATAAAAATTTTAATAATTATAATAATTATGTCGATTATAATGAGAGCCGACAACAACAACAACCCGTCAACAACTATATGACTGAAAAAGAAGAAGAAGAAGAGACGTCGTCTTCTTCGACAATGAAGACACCATTGATGTTGTTGTCGAAGAAGACATGTCTTCATCAAGTATTAAGCAATCCATCGACAACTGATGATAATACACTATATTTGGATAACTTGGATATCACTGATGCGGCAGATATACTGGATTTGGAGACACCGATCGTCAAAACTGTTGTCAAAGCTGATGATGACGACGATGTCAATGGTGAGGATAATAATAATAATAATGATAAACATTTTGTTGATCAATGGCAACAATTTGATGAACAATTGAATACTAATGACAACAACAACAACAAGTGCTTAGATTATGGTGTTGTTGTCATACAGGCATCAAATGCTGAAGAAAAAGTAATAGAAGAAGAAAAAGAAGAAGAGTCGACACAAAGTGATGAATATATTGTCACCTCATTGGATGACTTGCAGCCCATCGTCGAAGATAACAAAGATAGTCATCATCAACAACAACAAGAAAATTGTTATCCATTAGATAATTGGACACATTTTCCGGTGATAAATGATAGCAACAATTATTATGATTATAACAGTTTGACTGATAAACAGGAGATAATGCCATCATTTGATGAAACAATAATAACAGCAGATGAAGAAAATATTTTTGCCAAAAATTATCAACAAATCTATTATCAATAATAATAATAAACTACAGTATATTTGTTATATAATATAATCTGTTAATTAATATTTTAATTTATATGTATTATATGATTTTTATAAAAGTGTATTTATTTTTCAACAAAAAAAAATAATAATAATTATGTTATTAATAGTGATCTAAAAAATAGTTAATAATACTAATTATTATTGCGATAAACTTTTTTTTAATAATCTAAACACCTCTGGTATTATGCTATTTAACTTAATTAATTAATTAAATTATTATTATTATTATACCTGTATATGCTATGTTCCTAAATACTACCGGGGTGCTATTTGAAACAAAAATACTATCAATTATTATTATTATTATACCCATAATATAATGTATTTTCCTTTTTTGTTTGTTTTGTTTTGTTTCATTACTAGTCTATTATAAATAATTATGATTAAACTTTTAAAAAATTTAATCAAATTTTTGTGTGTGTATATTTTATAAAATAATTCAAATGAACAACAACAACAAAACTAAGCTTGATAATATTAATAATAATAATAAAAAAATTATCATTTAATTTATTAAATAAAATAAATGAACATTTTTTTGAAATTTTTTTAATTGTAAATATTAAAATTGAATAACTCATTTTTGTACAAATTTTTATTTATTTATATATTTATATATAATTTATATATATTTATATATATATATATACTGTAATTAATTATATATACTTTAAATATTTAATTTAATCATTTATCGTTTGCATTGTTTGTTGTGTTGCTATTGTCGGCGGCGGCGGCCGAGGCCGCGGCGGTGATGATGTCTATGGTTACCGATGCGGACATCGGTAACGAGGAAGTAGTGGTGGCGGTGTTTGTGGTAGGACTACCTGAATAGACCGATGAGCTCATAATGTGATGATTATAATTAGTAGCTGTTGTTGTTGTTGACGATGCGGCAAATGTCGGCCTAAATATCATACTTTTGCTGTCCATCGATCGGGTCATCAATTGAGACAATCGTGACCACGGTTTTGCTTTTATCCGATAAAACTTGGTCTGTATGGGAACCTTATAACGATTTTGTGCCTAATTTTTATAACAAAAAATAAAATACAATATTATTAATTGATAGCACTTTTTTATTATTAAACAAATTATCTATTGAAAAAAAATCAAATTTAATATAAAATTTTTGTTTGTTTGTTTGTGTACTGCAATTAATATATCATAATTAATTAGCAAATCATATAAAAACTAGTAAATTATGACTAAAAATAAATAAATGCCCGCATTTTATGTGTGTGTTTTTTTTAATTATATTATTATTTTGATTTAATAATTTAATATATAAAAAAAATTATTTAAATTTACAATTAAAAAAACAATGTGTTATTTTGCAATTAATTATAATATTTTTTAATTGTATTTTTTCCTATTTATAATTTTTTTAAAAAACTAAAAATCAATTTAATTCAAAGCATCTGTTCAAATAATAATCTTTTATTAAAAAAATATCTAATTTCATTAAATTATGTAATCAAAAATTTTTTTTAACTAATGTTTATTGACTTATAGGCTATTAAACCTATAAATATACAATATATATATACCTTAATTAAGTTCAATTAGATTTACCGTATAAATAAATTAAACAAAAATTAACTTTTTAAAAAAAACCATTTGAGATAACTGTGCTTAAAGTTTAAGTGCAATATAATACAGTTTAATATACAGTTTAAGTGCTGTCGGTTGGAAGCTATGGCTCCAAACAAGAAACAAAAAAACAAATGTAATGATAATTGTTGTTAAAATTAAATAAACATCTACTGTATGGTATAATACTGTATTAAATAGTAGTAGTCGTAGTTATTGGAGGTATAAAAACATGATATAGACCTCCCTATAGATGAACTACAATTTATATATATATACAGTATAACTGTTCTCTATACTGTATATTGTAGATCACACACACACTCACACACACACATAGACAATGTAAGCCATGAACACCTAATTGATAAGCCATGGATTTGGCGCATCTCATCCTAAATGTAATGGATGTGCTAAGGTATGTGTGGTTTGTAATCTCTCTCTCTCTCTCTCTCTCTCTCTCTCTCTCTCTCTCTCTCTCTCTCTCTCATTGCTAGAGAGAGAGAGAGAGAGAGAGAGAGAGAGAGAGAGAGAGAGAGAGAGAGAGAGAGAGAGAGAGAGAGAGAGAGAGAGCAGTTTAGAGTATAGTGTTGTATGTGTGTGTGTGTGAGCGCCTAAAGGTATGTGCGATACATATCAGTAGTTAAAAAGTAGTAAAGTATTGCTTACTTTTCTTGCCTGACAGTACTCCTTATCAGTGACTTCGGCAATAGTCCAACGTTGCGGTTGCTGTTGTTGTTGTTGCTGCTGCTGCTGATGGGCCTCTCCTGTAACTAATTAAATGGCAAAAATCAATTAACGATTAGCTTATGTTATTTACACTATTATATATAGAGAGATAATCATTATTAAAGGTAAATATTTGACAAACAATTTCTGTATTAATGTATAGAAAAAAAGTTGAGTGTATGTATGTGCATATGTGTGTATGTATGCCTATGTGTACGTTAAGTGTATGTGTAAACCTGCGAAAAAATGTGAGATCACTTAACTATACACGGCTTCTACAGTTAAAATATATTTTACATATACAGTATAGTACTGTACAGTCATCATAGGTATAAAGGTATGGGAAAAAACTGTTTCCCAATTTTATATAAGCTATAAAATAGTTTTACTTAAAATAAAAAATAAATAATAATAATGCTATTCAATGGTAAATAGAGTAGAGTTACACATACTGTGTGTGTATATATATATATGATGATAAAAATAAACAATTTTTTTTAACTGAATTGGTGGTTGAAATTTTATGCAAACATTTTTGATTATATGTTGTAAAAGGTGTGGTTAATCGTTATGTATAACAACTGAGGATTTGTGTGGACAGGGATTATCTATTACTGAATAACCGTTCCGGTCGTCACTCATAAATTAAACTACATTTCTCTTAACTTATAGTCAAATCTTTAAGTATATATACAATATATGTATAAAAGTTAAACATTGTTTATAAATATATATATATATATACTGTATATAAATTGAATGCATTTTTTGATTTGAATCGTATCTATCAAACATAAAATATGAATTTCATAGTTATTATTGATTTTATACACTCATAATTTTCCTTCAAAAAAATGAGAGAGAGAGAGAGAGAGAGAGAGAGAGAGAGAGAGAGAGAGAGAGAGAGAGAGAGAGAGAGAGAGAGAGAGAGAGAGAGGTATATATATTATGTATAAAAAATTACTATAGTATCCGTTTTTATTTGTCAATTGATTATTATTATAAGTGATGAGCCAAAACAAAGACAACTATAACAACATTGTTCAACAGTTTTAAAAAAATAAATATATTTTTGATATAAAATCAAAAAACAGTTTTATAACAATTATTATTATTATTATGTCTTATATTTTAACTAACTATCTCAGGGGTGGTCGCAGTCAAACATAGCGTTTAATTGTATTTTATATACCAAATTATATTTTTAAATGTGCATCCATGATGTATATTTTTTGTAATTTTTGATTATTATTATTATTGGTTGTTTATGATATGCTATATTTACACATTATATACCTGTATATATATATATAAATATTTTAGTAAATAAATTATCATAAAAAAATTTAAATTATTTATAAAATCATTAAATTATATGTTAGAAATATTAATATATTATTATATAATTAAAAGAATAAATGCATATATTAAATGAAAACCAAAATTATTTATATAGTATTAATAATGTTATTTTTGTTGTTGAAAAAAACTATTATTAATATCTTATATAAAATTCTATATAAAAGTTTTCAGTTTATTATTAATTTTTTTTAAAGGGTATGGTATCAGTTGTTTGTCTTATCAATGTCATCATTGATGGCAAACTTTCCCATATTATCGCCAATTGTTTTATAATAGAGTTGTGATGAATAAAATTGTCGTACATTTTCATTGATATTACTCATAAAATTGATATCAATTCTATTGATTTTATTACTAATTTTCGACAATAGATCACTTGATATGTAACTATTCAATACAATCTCGGCTCTGGTAATGACACCCAAATGTTGTGCACTGGTATACAAATGTGTATATGTCTGCTGATCTGATGATGATCTCATAAAATCAGATGATTGCAAAGCTCTGATGGCAATAGTTTTATTTGAATTTAGTTTCAGTTTAAGATCACCTAATAGTTGTTGAGATAAATCTTTTTGTTGTACATAAACAACAATCTGATAGTGAAACAGACAGTAAGGTTCGGTATCTGATGTCTGGAAATAATAATTATTTGGAAATGATTTCATTAATTTAGTCGATATATTATTATTTAAATCATTTGTCCAATAGTTTAAATTGAAACCCAATGGTCGACATTTGTCACCATTAAGGCCACAATCGGCACATTTGCCAGATCTGAAACTATCGTAACTGTCGCACTGGTAGCCAATATGTTGACAACTTTTCGGTGCAGTCAAATATTTATCCGATAGCGACAAATACGGTGCCCGTTGATGATTACAATCGGGTAGATTTGATTTGAATTGATTGAGCAATTGTATAATCAAATTGGTTGCGCATCCCGGTTGGCCGGTACCACCGTTCGGCCTAAAATCGATATGTCCCAGTGAATCGCGATTACCCAAATAGCCGCTTAGTTGGATAAAATTAGTGAGATTGCCGTCCCATTTGATAAAACCGCCACTGGTATGCACAACGATAACTAGTCCGGCATCAGTGGGTGCTAAACGGTGTTTGGTGTCCGTCCAAAATCCAACCCCTGCCGGATCGAGTGCCGTTATGTAACCGATTTTCGCCTCATCATCTTTGAATTGTTTGCCCGCATTGGCGCATATATGGGCACCCAGACTATGGCCAACACAGTGTATGTCCTGGAGTTTGGCGCCCATCACATACAATGTTTTGATAAAGTAGGCAACCATTGAGCCGACAATTCGCGTATGAAAAGCGCAGTTAAAATAGTTGCCATCAAATGCCAACTCTTTCCAGTCGACAAACACTACATTATAGCCGTAACCGAGAAAATAGTCGATAGTTTCGGCCATCCAAACTGATTTGCCGTAATAGTCTCGCCAGCCGTGAGCTATGATAACTGTCCGCCGATTGACATCAAAATAGGCGTCGTGTAGATCCTGTTCACTGGAATTATAGTGGAGTACAGACTGTACGATACTATCATCTGAGGCGATGGCAAACAATTGGAGATTGATTTTTGTTTGGTCGGCGGCGGCGGCACCCGATTCGGGACGTATGGAAAGCAATTGTTTTATATCTAATGAATCACTATTTTTATCAATATCAATGTCAGTATCAATTATTATACTCTTTAGCCAATCATATGCTGACCTAATAAAGCCATCGGTTGAAAAACAACCCAACTGTCCATAACATATATTATTATTGTTGTTGTTGAGTACCGACGGTAATTGTGGATATTTATTATTATTATTATATTGCAATGTATTATCAATAACCGCAATAACAATTAACAATGTAATGATGAAATTCATTATTTTTTTAGCATTGTCAATTTTTTTGACATTATTATTTTATAAAAAATTATACTAGGTCCTATTTAATATGTCCTATTTTTATAGAAAAAAATATATTAAACAATATAAAATTTTCCATAAACTTACTCTACTATAACACTAGTGGCAATAATAATGTAATAATAATACATTTTGTAGAAATATAATATTTTGGTTAATATTTTTTTTTTGTATATAAATTTGGAAAATATGTTATTCATATGGATTTAATGCAACAACAAAATCAACAAATAAAAATAAAATAAATCTAATTTTTAAAATGTGTTTCAAAAATTATATTTAAATGTTATATATTCTATTAATACTGTAGTTAAAAGTCATTAAAATTACGTTAAAACATATAAATTTGTATTTCAGTATATATATATATCGCAATAATTAAAGGAACAGTTAGTTATGTTTTTAAAAAAAATATATATAAGATTTACCTGATTTTAGGGATAGACCATCCAAACAGTCGGTGTGCAGAAAGTGTAATACATGATTAAGATTGAAGACAATATAATTTTCAAACTTCTCTTCATAATAGATGAGCACAATATCGCCCACTTCACAGCTGATGATAATATAATTGATGATATAATTGAAGTTTTTTTTTTAAAAATGTAAAAAATGTCAAATAATTTGGTGTCAATATAAAAAACTAATTGATTTGAATTATTTTTGTTTGTTTTGATTTGAATATATTCAAATTGCAATTAAAATTTAGACACTAATGTTTTAGTACATTCATAATATACAGTAGTTTAAGAAAAAAAACACACAAAATTATAACAATAGTATATATCACACAAAAAAAACTATCAATACTTTTGTGATTTATTTTTTTCTAATAAATATCAGCATCAGTTGCACTGTGTTGTTGTTAAGCAATTAATTGTAATGTTTATGTTAATTATGATTAAAATAAATTCAAAAAATCATTTATCACTAATAATACGGTAATTAATTAATAAATCATGCATTATTTTAGGGAGGGAGGGAGGGAGGGGCAACATATTAATATATCGGTACAATTAATTTACTAAAACAAATATAATTATAAACATAAAAAAATCAAAACTATAACTTACCCAATAACGGACACCCTTTCAATCCTACCGATGCCCGATGTAGTGGACGACTGTGTCATTTCCGACTCTTTCATATTGATTATCCTATTTAATCGATTAATTTCGTAATCTTTTTCTTTAATCATCTGCAATATAACCACAAAAACATAACCAGAAAAAAATATAATTTAATTACCGACAAAATTGCTATTATTCAATAATAGCTTATTATATATAAGAAAAAAAATTAATAGTTTGGATTTGAATTTAAAAAAAAATATATTTATAATATTTGAAAAAAATAAGATTTAATTTTTTAATTAAATTTCTACTTTCAAACAGATTAATAAATTTGTTAATTAATTATATAAAAATAAAACAAACAAAAAAGTGTTCATACATTGGCTGAATTGCACGGACATTGCAATAGTCTCGGATCGCCACAAATAACCGATTCGTTTAGTTGTTTTTCACGGAAACAACTGCCGGTCAGTGTTTGGATTTCATTTTCTATTTGGTTCATAATTTCGGCAACAATTTGTGTATGACTTTTGACATCACTACCAGTGCTGCCGCTGCTCTCCAATGAGCTATTATTATACTTTATTAACAGCTCGTTGATGGCGGCAACCGATGCGCTAAGACTGGTATCTTTGGCTAACAACTCTTGAGCTATTGAATCCTTTTCCATCGATAGCTTATTGACGGCTTCGTTGAAGTTGACCTGATATTTGGCGGCCAAATCCGATTTAATTGACTTCAATTCATCATCGCGTTCTCGTTTCGATCGGATCAGTAGCTCTTCGTAGCGATTCTTTTCGTCGACAATCAATTGTTTCAGTTTCATAACTTCCCGTTCCTGTGCCAACTGGTCGATCACATCCAGATTGACTTTTTCAAGACTAGTCTCCGACGGTGTCCGCTCTATTGATGTTGTACTGATAGCCAGTTTGAATCGATGTCTTAGTGAATCCATTTCGTGTTTGTGCTCAGAATCTAATTTTTCTTTCAATTCATTCAAACACCGCAGCCGTTGTTCATCCAATTCTTGGCGCAACTCATTGACCATCGATTCATGTTTTACCTCCAGTTCTTTGAGTTGCGATTGAAACTCATTCTTCAGTATCTCTTGTCTGTCATTAAAATCTTGAATCAATGAACTCTTTAGCGAATCTTTTTCCTCTTGAGATCTCGTCAATAGTTCCGATTCTAGTTTTTCATAATTCATTTTCATAGCCATCACCTCATTTAACTTATCATTGATCGTGTCTTCTAGCGATTGATTTGTTTGTATTAATTTGGACATCTCTTCGTTCATCGATGTCAACTCCAATTCGTGTTCCAATGTCAGCGATGTCTTATTTTCTACCATTTCTTCGCGCAATTCATTAATTTCGCGCATTTTATCAGTCAATTCTTCGCCCAATCGATGATTATCACTGTGTAGGTCATCGATGCCAGTCTTGAGCAAATCCAATTCGTCGCGTAATACTTGTTCACAACCTCTAAGACCAGAAATTGTTGTCTCATTTTCTTGTAAACTATTCTTCAGCTTTACTTCCTTCTGGTTGAACTCATTTTCTTTCGAAATAAGCCAATCATTTAACTGTTGTTTCATTGTTTCAAACGACGACAAATAACTGCAGCGAAGATCACAATATTGTTCGTAAATCGATGTCTTGAAATCTTTGAGACCTGAGATAGAGTTGAACGTAGTTTTCTGAAATGATTGCAAACTATTATCTTTTAACAACAATTGTTCTTCAAGTTTGTCACAATTTTCTATCAATTCTTTGTTTTCATTGATTTTTTTGTCTAATTCCTGAGAAATATTCTTCATTTTATCTTCAAGTTCGGCAAAACAGGTGTCAGCAATGGACACCTGTATTGATACATCAGTAGACGCATCCGTATCATCGGGCGACGGTTTATCAAACTCTTCGTTAACCGTCTCATAGTCATCGGTATCTGATTCGCTCGGTTTTGATACTAACGTACTGTTGTTGTTGTTGGTGATGGACGGCTCAGGCATAGGCACTGGCAAAGGCACGTTCAGCATATCGCTGAGTTCGGGTAATTTTTGCCGCAAAAATTCAATATCGGCTTCAGTTAGCTGAGGTAATTTCTGGTCAAACGGTTGGGGAGCTTCGGTAGCAAAATAGGGCGGGAAATCGTTGATTCCCGGAAACAGTACCCGTAGAAAATGTGAATCCAATTGAGTGGAAAACGATTGACGCAATCGGGTTTCGTTTTCCAATAATTTTGACGAACTGTCCGCCAAACTCGATGCCCAGCGAACAAAAACATCGGAGAATGTCTTACGTCGGACAACTTCGACCACTGACGCCAAATACAATTTCGGTGTCAAATGAATTTGATGGACAACTTCCAGATGTTTTTTCAATCGGCGAATATTTTCCCGATAGATCAGTACTTTCGAGTCCACTTCGCCCAGACGTTTCTCAATGAATACAATCCATCGGAGCCGTGCGTGCAAATTGCCGGCCAATTCTTCCTTAGCGCGGGCGCATCGACGCCGAATGTCACGCAGTTTCTGGTGATTCTTCAGCATCACTTGCAACTGTTGCTGATGACTGGAACACAGATCGGGCAAAATGGACGGATCTCTTAGATTAGCGGCTCGAGTCTGGTTCTGATAGAAAGCTTGAGCCAAATCGCGCTGTTCGTCGACACACTTCTTCGACTCGCACATCAACTTTTCTAAACCGTACAGCCGTTCCTCCAGACCTTTCACCTCTTTCATCGACGACTGATTGCACGATTCAAGTACATCGGCCACTTCGTCCTTGACTTTTGTTAGCTCTTCCGAATCAAATTGATCCATACCTTGACAACAGTGTTGTTTCAATTGTTCCAAACTATTTTGATTATCTTTACGTCCAATCCATTCGAGTAGACTCGACAACTGTTGTTGTTGTCGTTGCTGTTGTTCTTCACCATCATTATCATCATCGTTGTTGTTGTTGATTGAGTGTTGTTGACCAGTGTTTCTAGTATTGCTTAGTGTTGACAATAACGGTATCTTCGATAGTGTATCAATGTCTTCGTCAAATCTGATGAGAATAATGAATGACACAAACAAACAAACAAAACATATTATTTATCAAATATTTTAATATCATATCAAATGGTTTTTACGGTAATTATTAATTAATACAAACATTTGCAACAATTCGCGATAAACAGGTTTTTCGTCAATAAATCGGTTGAACATATCGTCCAACACCTGAGCACTGTTGGTGAAAGAGTTGGCAATATCTTCGAGATTGGCCACAACGGCAGCCCAGCCCTGTTGCTGTAGATGCTGGTCATGAACAAGTTTTTCGCAATTATGATACTGTTGTTTGGCCATTTCGTACAATTGTTGAGCCATTTCGGCCCTGGCCACTACCGTATTGATACTCGGCGGATTCATATCGATACAACTCTGGACCCGATCGGTCATATCGACATCGGGATCGTATTCGGTAATACACGGCGGCGGATTAACGTTTTCGATGGCCGATTTGCTGAACAAAAATATCGGACTCGTATCGGTTCCCGAACAGCCGTACGAACAGACCCGGGCGGTCGGATTCAGACTTTCGCCGCCACTTATGAGCAAAACTTGTTTGTCTTCAGGTATCTGACACTGGATTTCGATGGCTTTCTTCAGATTTGCCACACTATACGGGATTTTACGAAAAATTTTTGTTTTTATTTCATTATCACAGCAATTGGTGGTTAAAACCAAACAAACAAAAACACTTACTTCTGAAGCGCCAAATTCATGTCAAACGTCATCATTGATCCGTTTTCTACAAGAAATATGTATAACATTTTTGGTGTCTTTTTTGTTTGTTTGATAATCACTGCAAACAACAACACTAATAGTCAGTCTTCTTCTTCTTATTCTTCGTGTCGTCGCTGAAGAAGAAGAAGACAAAGTGATAATCAATTAAATCAAAGAAGTGGTAATAATAATAATAATAATAATAAAACTATTCTTCAAACACAAAGACATTAAACACTTCACTACTTTATATTATATCTCATAACGTAATCAAAGCAATCATATGATAGTATTATTAATAATAATAGTAATAATAATAAATATTTTTCAATAAATAATTATTTAGTATTGTATTGTAATAGTTGTATAAAAAAATGGGATCAACTATTAAAATCAATAGACATTATCATCATTACTGTTGTTGAATCAATGTCTTCAACATAAACACCATTAGTCATCATCATTGCCGCCATCAATGTCTTCAATCATTTTTTTTTTGGTTTTATTTTATTGTTTGTTATTATTGTTTATTATAGTGTATTAGTAATGCTTTTTATTATAAAATGCAATCATATTTATATTACATTATTATTATTACAGTGTTTAGTGTTGACTATCGATGCGCACAATCATATGATTGCAATACTTTTTTTTAAAAATTAAAAGTGTATTCAATACAACACTAGTCAAACATATGAAACATAGTTTGTCTATGCATTGACAAAGTAGTTAACTATAAGACTAGTGTTTGCTTTAATAAAAATATTCAGTAAACAAAAAAATAAATAAATAATTTTAACTGATATTACAGTTATTTATATGATATGATACTATACTATAGTTTCAAAGTTAAATGTAGTTTACTATTATAATAATTACAATATTATTATAATACTTTATACAGTAATAATGCAATACAACTACACAAATAGGTTTTAGTTATTTAATATGAAATAAGTTTTTTTTTAATTTATACAAAATGTTTATCTAATCAACTAATGATAAATTAAATACTTTATATTAATAAAATAAAAAAATAAAATGTTTCACTTCCTATATATATAAGTCAAACAACTTAATAGCCGTTAGTTAAATAGCATTAAACTTATTATTATTTAGTCAAATGATAAATCAATTTATTTTAGTTTTTTTTGATTGAATATCTGAAAATAAATATCTATTTATAAAAATATCTGTAAATTTTATTTTATTTGTTTTATTTGTCGCCTCTTTTGGCACACAATTTTTCATATATCATATAAATTTATATATATATATATATATTATTTGTTTGTTTTAATTTAACAATTAATATACAGTAAGTATCTGTGTATTACCAAAAATTAGATATATTTAATGACAATTATAAAAGTAATATACAGTATTGAAAGTTTTATTTATTGACTAAAATGTGTTTTACAACATAATGTAACTAATGAGCAAGGGCATCTATAATATTTTAAAGGACAGTTAGTTTTTTTTAAAAAATAAAATTATTGCATTTAGCCTGACATTGATATTGACCAAAAAAATTCATGAGTTTATATATGAATAATTTTTTTTTTTTGAAAAATAATTAATATTTGTAAAAAAACTATTTCATTTAATAAATTCATTTCAATTTTATATAAATATTTTCAAATTCACAAATAGTTTTAGTTTTTTTATTAGCAGAAAATAATATTATCAATAAAATTAAAGGATTAAAAAAAGTTTATTGACTACTTATAAATAAGTAAATAATAGGCTATTGACTACCACTGTATATACTTTAGAAACTTTTTTTAAATGATAAAATTAACATTTTTTTAATTAAAAAATTACATATTAAATTTTTATTAGTAAAAAAATTGTTTTTTAAAATTTAATTAATTTATTACTCTTATCATACAAATATCATATGAAATGTAATCTAATGCAAAACAACAACAAAAAAACAAATTTAGGACAAATGAGACAATTTTTTATGTATTTATAACTTTATAACAGAGTTTAAATATACAAAAAATATACAAAAAATATACTAAAAATATATATACTGTATATTATTGATATAAATATACTGAAAACTAATTTCATGTGACAAACAAACAATAAATTCAATGACAATCAAACTTCAAATGTGTTTATTATTATTACAAATTAATTACATTACATTACAAATTAGTAGCATTACATAACAATATTTATAATATTAATTTTAGTATATCGTATACATTGTATAAATTAACAAACAAAATATATGTAAATTTAGTTTATTTTTACATATAGTTATCAATATACTGTATTACTTAATAATCTATAACATTAAATGTGTCAATGTATCTGGACACTTTTTGTTTTTAAATTATCAATTTTTATAGAAATTTTTAATACACATACACGCATACAAACACATACACACAACACATACACACAACACATACACACAACACATACACACAACACATACACACAACACATACACACAACACATACACACAACACATACACACAACACATACACACAACACATACACACAACACATACACACAACACATACACACAACACATACACACAACACATACACACAACACATACACACAACACATACAAACACATACAAACACATACAAACACACATATGTATTAATATTATTAATATACATACACTTAAATACACACAAACAACGTAATGCATGAATACATTGCATTGCATTTAAAATAATATAACAAAAATATTAAACAATCCGACAATTCAGCCATTTTTCTAAACTTTTTATTTCAAAAAATAATTGTTTTTTTTATTTGTTTAGTTTGAATCAATTGATTTGAATGATATAATTAAAATATTCAAAGATCAGGCAATGACTTCCAGCAACAACAACAACAACAACAACATTAACGCCTACGGCGGCAAAGAGTTGCTTCACTGTCCGACACCCGGCTGTACGGGATTGGGACACATATCGGGAAACTATGCAACACATCGCAGGTATATTTGAAATGAAATAATTAACAAATAAATTATTTGTTTTGATATCTAATTAATGGCCAATTATTTCGGTATTGATTATAGTCTAAGCGGTTGTCCCAATGCCGACAAAGCCCAGATACTGGTCGCCCAACAGGAAATTAAATTTTGTCCGACACCCGGCTGCGACGGTTCCGGTCATATTACGGGAAACTATACGAGTCATCGTAGTCTATCGGGTTGTCCGCGGGCTCGCGATTTCAAATCAAAAAAGTCTTCGTTAGTGAGATTGGCGGACAAAAACAGTCCGACGGATTTACTTCATCAGTAAGTGTTGTTTGTTTTTTTCGGAGGATATTGTCATCAATTGGTTTCATTTAAGTCATTCCCGATTTCTCATATATTATGTTTGTTTTGATCCCATTATAGTGGTTTGGCCAGTAAATTGAAGGTTGAACTGATCACGACTAACGGCGGAGTCGGCGCCGCCAATGATTACTATATGAATAGCGAACCGAAAGCCATTACATTGAATCAGGTTTTGAAAAACGAGTTCAACGACAACAACAACAACACTAATAGCCAGGACTTTGCCGCCGCCAGACTTACGGCTGGTATCAAAAGCGAAGGCCTTTCGTGTCCAACACCGGGTTAGTTGTTATATGAATCCGAAAAAAACGAAGTTTTTATCAGTTTTATAAAAAAAATATAAATTATTTTTGTTGTTGTTATTGATTATCATCTCATTGATTGATTTTTTACGGTAGGTTGCGATGGCAGTGGACATATAACCGGTAGTTTTCTAACGCATCGAAGTTTGTCGGGTTGTCCGCGAGCCATACAACTGGACGACAACACCACCACCACTACCAACAACATCATTAACAACAACAACAATAAAATAGCCAACAATTTAGACAATATTAATAATAATAATAGCAATCAAAGTAATCATAATAAAAGTCATAACAACAACAACAACAATATAAGCAATAATAATAAGACTAACTTAACTGAAAGCCGATTAACAAATGTTAAATCACTTACAACAACAACAAAAACAACAACAATGACCAACACTTTAGACAAACTGATTGCCAATAATAATAATAATAACAACAATAGTGACGACTTGTGCGACATCGATGACCAGATCTATCTGTTGCGCGACTATAACACCAAAATGGAGTCCGAACTGAATCGGGTTAAGTCAGAGTATTTACAATTAGAACAACAAATGGAATCATTTGAAAAGGTATAATCAGATGAAATTGGTGTTAACTCATGAGTGATATTATGGATGAAATCATTGATTATATCACTAATATTGTTTATATCTCTGTCTTTCTCTCTCTTCTTAAAACAATAGGAAAACAAACAACTGATGGGAACCACTGAAAATCTAAACAAATACTATCAAAGTTTGCGTAACAATTTGCTGGAACTGTTGGAGACCATACCGTTTCCCGATAGTCTAGAAGTACAGCCCAGTCAACAAAATTTTGAACAATTTCTCGACAATTTACAGTCAATATGTCTGGAGAACTATAAGGATGAAAATCGATTGGTTTTCTCATCCATTAGACATGTGTTGAAAGATTTTTCTGTTAATTTATAAAAAAAATACATTAATTGAAGACATTACTATTGTTATTAGTATTTTTTTATTGTTAATTACCGGTTAATTAAAATGCAGATAATGTAATGTATTTATTATATATACAGTACCGTATAAACCGGTATATACTGTACAGTATATATTATACAACAGTGTTAATGATATCAATGAAAACTACGGTACTATTATCATCCATAAGATTTGATTTGCCTTAAATTATATATACAATAAATTATTATAGATTTATTATAAATAATTAAAAAGTATATTGTAATTAAAAAAAACAACATAGATAATTTTTCTTAAAAATTACAAAAATACTGTATATGCTATTTTGTAATATCTGTAATTTATTTAATGGTTATACACAAACAGTATAATAATATACTGTATTAATTAAAAATAAAATTACAAATAAATTTTCAATAAAAAAGTTATCAAATGCTTAGACATATTAATACAATATATAATTTTATTTCAAATATAAGTAATTTTATTGTAATAATTATATTATATAAATTACTTAAAGTGCTGATTGTATAGATGGAGTGTTTATAAATTTATATATATATATAATATATATATATATATATATATATATATATATATATATATATATATATATATATATATATATATATATATATATATATAGAGAGAGAGAGAGAGAGAGAGTTTTAATGTTTTACATTACTTTAATTCAGAGATTTTTATAAACATTTTTTTTATCAATTGTTATTTGATTAGATTGAATCAATTGATTATTGATGATACGTATAATTGTATATTTAGTTTTAATAATATATTCAAGAATTTATATTAAAATAAAATGTCTAAAAATAGTTAATTATTATTATTATTATTATTATTAATGTACAAAAATATATACTTAAAAATCTAGATTTATTCCCTGAATTTAAATAAAAAACTATATATAATAGGCATAAGAGTCCCAAAAAACAAATTAAACTAAAAAATACAAATATTTATTTAAATATAACTAGAAATAATAATAAAAAATAATTAATTGAAAAATTTATTTATTTATTTCATACAAATATCAAATACTTTATTAGTATTATTAATCAATTGTTTTTTTTTAAATATTTCTAATAAATATTCTAAAATACAGTGATTTGTAGTTATATATAAAATTAAAAAAAACAAACAAAAATTATAAAAATTCTATATATATATATATATATATATGATAAAAATTTACCTGTTATATTATTATTATTATTTTTTTAGCTTATTTAAAATTAGTTTTTTATATAGAAAAAAAACAATTAATTAATTATTTTTTAGTTTATGATTGTTTTTTCTACTCCTCATTTTTTTCTGGTTTTTTATCTAAACAACGATATGTATGACCATTATGTGTACAAACATTATCATCGGGACATTTGTCTGTTAGATTATCGCATTCCTTTTCCTCATCAGTCATACGGACAGTCGATGTCATAAATGTTAGCATTATATAGGAAACAACAACAACCAAACTGGCCATCAGTTTCAGCATTGATAGCCAGCTCCTAGTGTTGCTTTGTCCAGCATTTCCAATACGATGACCACCACCACCAACACCACCGATAGTAGTAGCCATTAGTAAACCGTTACCGTTAGTGATCATCATCACTACCACTGTCATCATAATCATCTTCATCGACAACATTGTTGAACAGATTATTTATTTTTTTAATAGTCCTATTGAATTAAAAATAATAATAATAATAAATATATTGTTATATAATATTTATCTATCTATTGTATATGATTTAATAATTAGGAAAAATAAAGATTAGTGTTATTTTTTTTATTAAAAGATTTACCCTTTTTTTAGTAAACTGTTTAACTAACTAACTATAATTAACTAACAAACAGAAAAAATATTACTTAAGCTTTAAAAAAAACTATTTTTAATTAATTATATGACTGATATATGATGTAAATTATAGAGGATATGGGTTGGGCTATAATACTACATATATGAGAAAAAATTTAAGAGAGAGAGAGAGAGAGAGAGAGAGAGAGAGAGAGAGAGAGAGAGAGAGAGAGAGTGTATAGTAAAACAGCAATTAATTTATTTGGTTTATTAGTTATTTAATAAAAAAATATAGTCTATTTTTACTATAAATAACCAACTAATTAATTAAACAAAAATAACTTTTTTATGTAATTAATATTATTGTTTTTTTTGAAGTTTTATATCTTTTTTATGAAAAACATATTTAAATTTTAGTTTTCTATTTTAAGAAAAAAATTTACGTAATTAATCAACAAAAAAAACATATTTACAAACATACAAATATTAGACAATTTTTTTTGTTATTAACTTACAATAAGTCAGAATAAACAATTCAAAAGTAAGAGTTTTTTAAATAATCAATTAGTTTACTGAATAACTTAACTAATGTTAACTTTTTGTTTTTATTTCCAAAAAAAAAACAAAAATCATATACAGATTCTATACTATCAATAAAATCTAATTGATGTCAATGTCGATGATAACCGCTAATGTTAGCTACGGTTATACCAATCAGACTACTGGTGCTTCAATTGAGCGCTGGTCTATGATGGGCTGGTCACTGATGTTGATAGTCATCTAAGTCTATATGACTTGTTTGACTACAACTGTCCGCACTGACGATGAGGATTGCCGTCGAACTGGTTGTCCAGAAGGCGATTCCTGTTCACTTAGCATTAGATACGCTAAATATGTTTGCCATTAATACTAATGCTAAAAATTAAATATATTTTTGTTTTACTTATTTTTGTTTTAAATTTATTTTTAAAAAATTATTTCATTACAAACACAATATTAAAAATTTATATACTCTATGTAAAGTTAGACAAACTGTATTAAGTATTTTAATAAATAAAAAATTGATTAAGTAATTTCAGTTATAATTAAATATCAGATTTTTAGTATTATATAAAGGATATGGGTTGAGCTAGAATACCACATATTGTATATATGAGAGAAAGAGAGAAATGAGATAAAACAAAATCATATAATAGAGATATCATTATATTGTTTGTATCGGGACATAGAAAATATGGTTTAAAACAAACACAAGTAGTAGTAGTAGTAGTAGTAGTAGTAGTAGTAGTAGACATTGATGTTTAGTTTTTAACAATGATTACAACATAGGCTATAATAAAACAACAATTAATTTATTTGGTTTATTAGTTATTTAATAAAAATATAGTCTATTTTTACTATAAATAATTAACTAATTAATTAAACAAAAATAACTTTTTTTATGTAATTAATATTATTGTTTTTTTTGAAATTTTATATCTTTATTTTAATAAAAACATATTTAAATTTTAGTTTTCTATTTTAAGAAAAAAATTCACGTTATTAACCAACAAAAAAACATATTTACAAACATATAAATATTAGACAATTTTTAGTTATTAACTAACAATCAGTAAAAATAAACAATTCAAAAGTAAGATATAAAAATTAGTTTTTTTAAATAATCAATTAGTTTACTGAATAACTTAACTAATGTTAACTTTTTGTTTTTATTTCAAAAAAAAAACAAAAATCATATACAGATTCTATACTATCAATAAAATCTAATTGATGTCAATGTCGATGATAACCGCTAATGTTAGCTACGGTTATACCAATCAGACTACTGGTGCTTCAATTGAGCGCTGGTCTATGATGGGCTGGTCACTGATGTTGATAGTCATCTATGTCTATATGACTTGTTTGACTACTACTGTCCGTACAGAGGATTGCCGAACAACTGGTTGTCCAGAAGACGATTCCTGTTCACTTAGTCTTTATGTCAAACCTCCCAGATTTCTTTGCCATTAATACTAATGCTAAAAATTAAATACATTTTTTGTTTTCTTATATTTATGTAAAATTGTTTTTTTTAATAATTTTATTACAAACATACGTATATAAAATAAATTTATATACTCCATGTAAAGTTAAATAAACTTTATTAAGTATTTTAATAAACAACAAAATTTATTAAGTAATTTCAGTTATAATTATATATCAGATTTTTAGTAAAACTTAATTATAATTAGTTATAAATATACCAAGATAGCAAGAAAATATTAGTATTAAATTTAAATATAATTTTTAAACAAAATTTATTATGCTAATTTAAAAAAAAACTATATATACTACTATATAACAAATTATCTAAATACATGTTATTTATTTTAATTGATAAATATTAAAAAAGTTTTACATATTAATTAATTAAATCTAATCTTAATTATTTATTTTTTGAATTAATTAAGACATTAAATATTAAACATTTTAAAACAATAACTTGATTTTTTAGTTTAGTTTTGTTATTATTATAAAAAATTTAAATAATTTGTTGTTATTTATGATTTTCGGCTACAAATTTCGTTCATCAATGGCATCCGTCCCTTTAAAAGATTGTCGGCAATCATATCAATCTGCAGATGTGGTCAAACGTTAATACCGTTAGTGTCGACCCAATTGAAGGACAAGTCGTTTAGCCATCTGTTTATAAATACTTTATATTACAAAAAAATATAATGCAAAAAATTTTTTTTAATAAAAATATTTAATAATTAAAATTTCGATAATCAAACAAAAAAAAAACCTAAATTACCTAAATTAGTGTCAAGTAATCATTGAAAAAGTTATAACAAGTAATAACAATAATAGCCAAAAAGCATATTTCAATTGCAATCCTTATGTAATCAAATAAAATCTGGTCGTAATCGCATAACTGGCCAAACGTTGATAACAAATAGTGTCCACCACCACCATCACCAACAACACCACCTAATTGTTGGACCAATTGTTTGACCATCTGTTCCAAGTATACGGCAAACAAACGGCTGACAACTGTACCCGTAATTGCATTAGTGGTAAACCTATTGATAATATCTATTTGATAGTCGGATATAATCATTGATTGTTGTCGTTGTTGTTGTTGTTGTTGTCGACTGATATTTAAGACATTTGTTAGTTCATTGAGTCGACAGACTTCCCTATCATTGAACCGACAGTTGTTTTCTATCATAATCTGGTTGTCCATCGATTTTATGATAAACTGTATGTCCATTAGATTACTATCGACTGTCCTATCGGACAATATGTGTAGTAGTTGTTGTTGTTGTACATTGTCTGATAAAATTCTAGTATTGGTTGTAATAATTAATAAATTGATTATTTGCCAAAACTACCGGTGCTCTGTTGAACAGTGGTGACTTAATTTTTTGTCGTTTATTTTCTTATATTAAACAATATATTTAAAAAAAAATTTGTTTCTTCATCACTGAGTATATGATCATATAGTAAAAAAATAATATTATTTAATATATAAAATTTAATTAAAATAAAATATTTATACTTTTTGTGTAAAAGCGGTGACAAATTTTTTTTCAAAATCTACTTTTTCCGATAAGACATCAATAGTACAGTTGTTGTCGGCGACGATAACAATGATGACGACAAAGACACAAAAATACAGATAAACTGAAAAAATTATTTTAAAAAAATATTATTAATTAATTTTTTAAATTACATTATTCTGTACTTTATATTATAGTTTATTTACTTACCGATAATATTGACACAATAGCATTAAAAAAATAAAATACTATCTTATCCAATACTATACTGATGTTATCTATATATAATAAAGAAATATATATATATATATATATTAATAGAAATAAAAAATAAATATATAAATGTCAAAAATAAATTTTAAATAAAAAAATACATACCTTTATATTTTTATTGTTGTTAATTGTTAATTGTTTGTAAACAATAATAGCCGTTGATTTTTTAATATTTTGATTGATCGATGACAGTGTTGGTGTTGATTCAGGTGTTGGCGTTAATGCCGGTACTGGCGTTGATACCGGTGTTGGCGTTAATGGCGGCGTAGGATTTGATTTGAGATTTTTACATAGATTTTGATATTGTTTTTTGAAATATTTAAATATTTTTTTATAAAACTGTTTAACTAGCATCATTACCGATGCACCAAACCATAGCTCTACTGAACTTGATATATCACTTATAAATTGTAAATATGAAATTTTCAATTTAATATTAAAAGAAATTTGTTGATTATTTTTATTAAAAATGACAATTTGATAGCTGTCTTCCTGGTTTTTATAGTTTAAATCCTTTTTTGTTTTTAAATCGTATGACTCAAACATACATTGTTGCATTTTTTTACAACTATAGGCACATTTATCTGGATATTTAGCTAATGCGGAATATTCTTGCGTAAATTCTTTATAACTTGATGTTTCAATGGATGAATTTATTGAGTTTATAATACATTCATAAATACATTGATCTCTTGTTATTCCATTATAACATAAGCTATTGTATAATTCAATATCATAGTTAACTACAGTTTTGTAATAATCTACATAAAAAATATTTGAATTATTTGTCTTTATATCTATGGTGTTATATTTCTGTCCAGGATATAATGTTTCATGTCTTTTATACAAAGTTAAACCTAAATTGTCAATTAATAATTGTTTATAATTACTTATATTTACAATAAATTTAATTACACTATCTTTTTCAAACATAAACTCTTGTATTTGAAAGTCGTTATCGTTTTGAGCCTCACTTTGTTTGAAAATATTAATACAATATTTAGTATAATGAATACTATATGTATAGTTATTAACAATTGAACAATTAAAAAATAAATCGCCGATTTCTATAAAACAATTAAATATATCTGAATTATCTAACTGTTCAAATTGTTTTTTATATGTAAGATTATCTAAAGTATTAATAATAATTTTTTTTCTGTTTATAAGATCATCAATAGTTCTAACATTATATAATTTGTAATATTTTTTCTTTAAAAACAAATGTTTATCTGCACAGACTGTAATAGCAGGTAATATAATTTTATCCTTAAAATAATACTCTAAAGACGTTGATAACTCATATCTCGTATATTCAATATATATTTTATAGCAGTGTATAAAACAAATTATAGATAAAAATAGTATAATAATATTATAAGGTTTAATAATTTTTGTCATTATATTAATTATTATTATTTAAAGTAAAATAATATTCCAAAAAATCTATAAAAATAAAAAAAACATATGATAATAAAATTATTAATATATTATTAATATTAAATACAATAAAAAATTTTGTAAAAAAAGAGAAAGAGAGCTAACCCGGTGTTGGACACTAAAGGCCTTTGCTTTTAATACCAGCCGTAAGTCTGGCGGCGGCAAAGTCCTGGCTATTAGTGTTGTTGTTGTTGTTATGACTTTTATTATGATTACTTTGATTGCTATTATTATTATTAATATTATCTAAATTGTTGGCTATCTTATTGTTGTTGTTGTTAATGATGTTGTTGGTAGTGGTGGTGGTGTTGTCGTCCAGTTGTACGGCTCGCGGACAACCCGACAAACTTCGATGCGTTAGAAAACTACCGGTTATATGTCCACTGCCATCGCAACCTACCGTAAAAAATCAATCAATGAGATGATAATCAATAACAACAACAAAAATAATTTATATTTTTTTATAAAACTGATAAAAACTTCGTTTTTTTCGGATTCATATAACAACTAACCCGGTGTTGGACACGAAAGGCCTTCGCTTTTGATACCAGCCGTAAGTCTGGCGGCGGCAAAGTCCTGGCTATTAGTGTTGTTGTTGTTGTCGTTGAACTCGTTTTTCAAAACCTGATTCAATGTAATGGCTTTCGGTTCGCTATTCATATAGTAATGATTGGCGGCGCCGACTCCGCCGTTAGTCGTGATCAGTTCAACCTTCAATTTACTGGCCAAACCACTATAATGGGATCAAAACAAACATAATATATGAGAAATCGGGAATGACTTAAATGAAACCAATTGATGACAATATCCTCCGAAAAAAACAAACAACACTTACTGATGAAGTAAATCCGTCGGACTGTTTTTGTCCGCCAATCGCACTAACGAAGACTTTTTTGATTTGAAATCGCGAGCCCGCGGACAACCCGATAGACTACAATGACTCGTATAGTTTCAACTGATAATTCAATTATAATAATAATTACGTAAAATATTTAATAATTTTTAAGTACTATTTAAGAATAGATTTATAGAAAATATAGATAAATAAGTGAATCAATAATCATAAAGTGATAAAAGAGATATATATATATATATAAATAAAGATATATTGATATATATATATAATTTATAAACTTAATAAATAACTTTAATTTGATTTGATTTAATTATATGTCTTAGATATACCATTGATTGCAATATAGTTATTAATTTATAGTTAATATCTAAATAAGCAATTTATTTATTTTTAAAAAATATTTTTTTGTATATATATTATATGTAACAATATTTATAAAAATAATAGTAAAATTAAATATAATCTAACTTAGGCCATTAAATAATTTTAATTAATCTAATTAATTTATTAATTTATCTAATTAATTAATTTAATATATTTTTGTAATATAAAAAATTCACAAATTATATATATATATATACGTTTATATTGAAAATATAACAATTTGGTAAAATATCTAATAATCTTTTTTTTTACAAATTATATTATCATAAATTATAATATAGTTTATAATAATATAGTACTTTATATTATAAAAATTTATTTGAAACTTACAAAATGTAGTCCAAAATTAAAGTTTTTCTGATAATTGATTTTCTCAATTGTGTTTTATTATATGATATTATTAAATGTTTGGTATAGAACACACAATATTTATAATAAATATACTGTTATATTATTATTGTATTATATTACTAATATTTGGTTTTGTGTAACTACTATCCGATAGTACAGTACAATAATATTGTATGAAACAAGCTATGGATATATACTAAAGTTATATACAGTATAAGTTCATACATTCATATAAATATATACTAATAAATATAACATAACATATAGGGTTGCATAGATTTTTCGATTTCAGGGGGGTATAGGGGGTACGGTAAAATGATAAACATTTTAGGAAAATATTCGGGGAAAACTTTGTCTATGATTATTGATAATAAATTTAAAATATATATCTTTATTTACTTAATTTTTTATTTGATCTAATAATACTTTTAATTCATAAAATTGTAAAATTATAAAATATACTAGTTTGTCCCGCGCAACATGTATAGCCGTGCAATTCTTTTGCTAATTTTGAAATACTTATCATAAGTAATTTGAATGACAGTCTAATTTGTTTTATATAACAAACTACTTAACCTAATGTAACAAAACTTTATAATCAATTCACATTAATACGTCTAAACTTTTTTTTAATTTTTTTATGTATATTTAAATAATTTTTTTAAAAATCTAAAATTTAATAATTTTTGTGAAAAAAATTACAAAATTTTTCACTTTTAACTAACCTCCCGGTGCCCTGTGATTCATACAATATAGCAAAATGTAATAACACAGCACCTGCCTACCTGTCCCTAAAACCTACCTGATCTTAATAATCATTTAAAACTTTCCATAGAAATAGCATTACTTTAAATAAAAATTGAAAATATAACAAAACATTTTTAGATTTGAATTAAAATATGGTTGTTGATGAAATGTGCACGCATACAAACAAATAGAACTATTATCTTAAAGTGTTATATTGATTTATTGTAAATAATGTTATAGTGATGTAATTAATTATTATTTTCAATATATAATTAATTATTATTTATTTATATAAATATAAACTATTTATTTATATTAAAACTCACTTAATAGCTATATTTTTGTTTTAATATAAATTTTTATATTAAAGAAAATTAATATTTGGCGCCAAAGTGGTKGCCGGTCCCTAACATTTTTGGCTTTRAGTCGGGGGGGGGGAGGTAAAACAAAAAWTTTTGATATCATTSGGGAGAAGATTGGCTTACCTCTTACCCCTTATTGTATCCCTGATATGCCACTGTATTATATACTAAACTTACTATATTAAAGCACATTTTTTTAATATTATTAATCCTATGAAATATGTTATAAAATACAACAAAATAATTATAATAGTGACAAAATTTAAATTTAAAAAAATATATTTATTTGCAAATATAGTTTTTTTTAAAGAGATAACATATAAAATATACTGTACTAATATTATACTATAGTCTAAAGCTATTTAAATGCAATTATCTGTATTATAAAATATTTTGTGACACTTTTCTATCATCAATAATAGCATTAGTTATTAATACTCTATACTATGGTTGTCTAATTCATAATCAAAGTTGTTTATATATCTATTAGATGTCATTTAGCTAACCCAATAAAAATAAATTTATATATTTACAATATACTATATTTATTATTAGTATTAGCTAATAAAATAATTATTGTTATTATAAATAAATAAAAAGTTTACTAAAATTTATACAATAAATATGAATAAATAATGATAATAAAATAAATTTATCAATTAATAAATAAATCAAATAATATCTAGTGGTTTAATTAGAAAAAAATATAAATTCACATAGTTAAGTTATTTATAAATTATATTATATTAATATAATAATTTTTAAAGTTATATTATTGATAAATAATAATAATAATAGATAGATACATTATTAGGTTTAATTAAAGTTAATATAGTTTAAAATGAAGTATAGTTTTAAAATTTTTTTAATAAATATATATATATATATGCATTTATAACTAATAGTTTTTAAATAGATTTCTTTTTATATCGTGTAAAATAGGGAAAAAATTGTCGATTAAATTACACTGTTTAAAATTCTAATAATAACAATAATAATAAAATATTTATATATATATATATACATGTATTCTAAAATAAAATATAATTTGAAATCTTATTTATGGTTTGTGAGGATTAATTTTATTATTTTATTATAGTTAATTTTATACCGCTAAACATAAAATATCTCCTAGGCTTATAAAATCTAGTTTAAAAACTTCTCATAAACAGTATTTAAGTATTTTTTTTTAACTTTTTATATTATTATAAAATAGATACATAAATAATAGTAAAGCTATTTTAGGTTAACATTTATTATTTGTATCAATACAGCCCAGTCAACAAAATTTTGAACAATTTCTCGACAATTTACAGTCAATATGTCTGGAGAACTATAAGGATGAAAATCGATTGGTTTTCTCATCCATTAGACATGTGTTGAAAGATTTTTCTGTTAATTTATAAAAAAAATAATACATTAATTGAAAACATTATTATTGTTATTAGTATTTTTTTATTGTTAATTACCGGTTAATTAAAAAGAATATAATATATCTATATATACCATTATATATAACAGTGTTAGTGATATCAATCAAAACTAATATTATCATCTATAAGATTTGATTTGCTTTAAATTATATATAAATTATTATATTTATTTATTATAAATAATTTAAAAGTGTATTTTAATTTAAAAAACATAGATCAGTTTTAAAGATGTTTTTTATTTTATAATACCTCAATTTAATATATACTTATTTAATAATTTAATTTATTCAATAGTTATACACATACATACAATAAATTATAATGATAACACACACACACACACACACACACACACACACACACACACACACACACACACACACACACACACACACACACACACACACACACACACACACACACACACACACACACACACACACACACACACACACACACACACACACACACACACACACACACACACACACACACACACACACACACACACACACACACACACACACACACACACACAGAGAGAGAGAGAGAGAGAGAGAGAGAGAGAGAGAGAGAGATAAAACAAAACAAAATCATACAATAGTTATATAGTAGTAGTAGTATTAGTACTACTAATTTAGTAGACATTGATGTTTAGTTTTTAACTATTATTACAACATAGACTAAAGTCTAAAGTAAATCATCAATTAATTTATTTGGTTTATTAGTTATATAATATAAAAATATAGTCTATTTTTACTATAAATAGCTAACTAATTAACTATGTATTGCTGACTGTCTATAGAGTATTATACTTATATTAATAATTTTATATACTGTAGTCATCTATATAACATTTTATTGTAATTATAATAAAAACATTATATATATAGTGTTTTTTTAATTTTATGTTATATATATTATTTAAATTTAAATTAATTTATTGTATTTTTTGAATATTTTTTATGTAATTAATATTGTTGTTTTTTGATAATTCAAATATTTCATAAAATTTATATTTAAATTTTAGTTTACTATTTTTAAAAAAAATTTACGTCATTAACCAAAGAAAAAACATATTTTACAAACATATAAATATTAGTTATTTTTAGAGTTTTTTACATAATAATTTACAAACAGTTAAAATTAACAATTAAAAAAGGTATAACAAAATAATAATTTTATTTATAATAAATTGGTTTATTAAATAACTTAACTAATGTTAACTTTTTTTTAAAAAAATATATATATATATACAGATTCTATACTATCAATATATAAACTTTTTTAGCCAAACTAATTAATGTCAATGTCGATGATGACCGCTAATGGTAACAATGGTTTCATCAAACATACTACCGGTGCTTCAAAAAATCAGCAGCACTTGTCTATGTTGTGGTTGTTATCATCACTGATGATAGTCATCTATGTCTATATGATATGTTTGACTAATACAGTACGTATGGATGGCTGTTATGAATCAGGCTGTCCCGATGGCCTAGTATGTTGGAATATAAAGGGTCATGCTTGCTATAAAAACAACAATAACCAATTAAATAATACCGGTATCGATGATATTGTGGTTACAGTGGGTCCAGTTATTATCAATGTTACATTTGATTGTTCAGTTAGGGGCTGTCCACCCGGTGAGAGATGTTCAGTTACCTATCATCACGAGTGTATCAAAAAACCAAATTAATAATTTTTTTTTTAAATGTTTAATTATAAAAAGTACAATACGATAATAATGATTTTTAATTTTTTTAAGCAAAAATTGTATTAATTATAAACAACTAAATGTATTTTTTTTATAATTTTCTCAAAATAAATAAAACTTGTTATTAATTATATATTTATTATTAATGTTCTGTACTTTACTGGGAATTCCCATTGAATCTTATTTTCTTTTCATACCATCATTTGAATCCTAAAATTATTAAAATTTATTATAAGGTTTTAATGTCAAATAAAATTGTTTCTTATAGTATATTATATATTAAACTTATTATATATACATTTTTTGCAACTAAATTAATATTTTTATTTTATAATAATGAAAGTCCAGTCAACAATTTTTTTTTAACAATTTCACAACAATTTACAGTCAATAAGTCTGGAGAACTATTGTAATGAAAATTCATTGGTTTTCTCATCTATTTTCTGTTATCTTAAAAAATAGACATTAATTGAAGACATTATTATCATTATAAGAAAGAGAAACAGAGAGAGAGAGAGAGAGAGAGAGAGAGAGAGAGAGAGAGAGAGAGAGAGAGAGAGAGAGAGAGAGAGAGAGAGAGAGATAGACTGAGAGAGAGAGAGAGATAGACTGAGAGAGAGAGAGAGAGAGAGAGAGAGAGAGATAGACTGAGAGATAAACAGAGAGAAACATAGAAAAAAGTCATATCTTTGAAAAACATATTTAAATTTCCTATTTTTACAATACTTTACGTCATTAACTAAATAAAAGCATATTTTACAAACTTATAAATATTAGGTATTTTTTCTATTTTTCTTTAGTTAACTAATTTACAAATAGTTAACAGTTAAACAACAACAAAAAGGTATAACAAAATTATAGATTTAACAATAACTTAATTACTGTTATATTCAATATATATAGACTTTAAAAGACTATTTGATGTCAATGTCAATGATGACCGCTAATAACAAAGGTTTCATCAAACAGACTGCCGGTGCTAACAATCAGCGCTATTGGTCTATGTTGTGGTTGTCACTGATGATAGTCATCTATGTCTATATGATATGTTTGACTACAACAGTACGTATGGATGGTTGCGATCATTTAAAATGTCCGAATGGCTATACATGTCGTCATATAACATCCAAGTGTTACGAATCAAACAATTTAAATACAACTAACGATACCATTGTTACACCGTTGCCGCTGCCGATATCAACTGCTGTTCCCCAGGATATCATTATAACGGGAACGCCTATCATTATTAAAGCTAACTGCTATATAGTGGGATGTCCAGTTGGCTATAAATGTGGTCAAGCTGATTATTATGAGTGTAGTAATTAAATTAAAATTAGTAATTATTAATACGATAAAAATAATTTGAATGACAGAAAAAATAATTAAAATATAAAATTGTATTACTTATTAAACAATAAAAAAAATTTTTTTTTAAATATTTAATAATATGAAGTTAACTTTTTTTTAAAATATGTATTTATATATTATAAGTAATCTAAAAAGTATATTGCAATTAAATAAAACAACAACATAGATCATTTTTTTAAATTACAAAAATATGTGCTATTTTATATTACCTGTAATTTATTAAATATTTTCAATCAAAAAAAAGTTATCAATTGCTTAGGCATATTTATATTATTGCTATAGTATATAATTTATTTTTCATATATATTTATAACTAATTTTATTGTAATAATTATTATATTGTGTACATTAAAGTGCTGATTATATAGATGGATGCAACATTAAATTTTTTTTTAATTATTTATACAGATATCCTATCAAGATTTAAATAGTTTAATACATTGTATAGTTATCAATAGTAATAGTAATAATAATAATAATAATAATAATAATAATAATAATAATAATAATAATAATAATAATAATAATAATAATAATAATAATAATAATAATAATAATATTTAATACTGTAGTGTTAGTACAGCTTTAAATTTTTTTAAAAAATTATTATTTATATCATATACTAAATCAACCAGTTGAGAATGCTTCAAAAGCATTTCCATACGAATTCCTTAACTTAAAAAAGAAAAAAAAACAAAAAAAAAAGATTTGACACTATTTTCTCTATGTTTCTAATAAAATAAACTTAAAAAAAATTCAAAAAAAACAAAAAAAAATTCAAAAAAATTTTTTTTATTAATTATTGGACACCATTTTGTTTATTTTCCTGAAAAATAAACTTAAAAAATCAAAAAAATTAAAAAAAATCACAAAAATGTGTAGCTGAACGTGGATTCGAACCTATGTCCTCGTGGGACAGACAGACCGACAGACCGACAGACTTTTAGAATGCATATACGTATTCCTTTCAGGAATTCGTGAAAATGTATTGATAATAATACCCAAAATGCAATAGCAATTGTATTACATATTAAATTTATTTCTATTAGGGTTTTTAGGGTATATTTACACAAAAAAAAACGTTCCCTATGTTCCCGGCTTTCTGGAAATTTTCACAGAATTTATTTCCTTTTGCTAGTATTGAAACCTAAACAACATATATTAAATTATATTGTTTTTTTAAATAAATATATTAAACGGATTACAAATCGGGTTCGGGTAAAGTATAAGAAATAAGTAAACGTTTTTATATATATATAAAAAAGTAAAAAATTTCATTAAATATAAAACATTTGATTAATCGCTGTGACAGTTAAACGACTGCTACTTTTGCTGTTATTATGTATACAGTATATATGAGGGTTGGAAAAATATAAGGTTTTGAATTTTGACTTTTGTATAATATTAATATACAGTAATAGTCTTTTAATTGTTTAACGGAAATAGAAGTCTTATTGAAGTTCTCACAAAATTTACGTAAAGTTATTACAGTTATTAATTTGTATTACATGTTGTCATTTATTTTCATTTTATTAGCTTCACATTAATTTTATTCATTATAGGTCTTTACGGATTATCATTAATGATTAGAGGTCGGCACTGAAATATTTTATAATACATAGAGCTATTGATAGTGTTAGAGTAAGTGCCCACCTCTATTCATTAAACATAGTCCGTAAAGACCTATAATGAATAAAATTAATGTGAAGCTAATAAAACGAAAATAAATGACAACATGTAATACAAATTAATAACTGTAATAACTTTACGTAAATTTTGTGAGAACTTCACTCGAGTTTTACTCGATTTTAAACTTTAGAGTGGCATAAACTGTAGTAAAACACAATGTACTCCAATGTATTATATAAATTTTAAAACTAATATACTGTATAATAAATATTACTAATATTAATAAATAATGTGTATAATAAAATATGTATAATAAATATAATGTAAATATACACTGTATATTATGTTAAAACTTACATTAAAATATTTAGTAAAAATATAATTTCTAGAAAATGCATTATTATTATAATAATCGTTATTAATATTTCTAAGTTATAATTATCAAATAATTTATAATAACAAATGAAATTTAATAAATAAATAATATTAAAACTATATTAATTATAAAACATGATTTAATTTGCTTATATCAATGCTTTTAGCAATAAGTGGCGCTAATTTGTTTTGTAAACCAAATTGGTCATGTATTTTACAGTACATTGTATTATACTGTTTTGTATTATACAAACATTATGTCTCTGCCAACACTGATTAGTAATACAGTTATTAATAGCAGTACTGTTAACATACTGTACACTGACTGTACTGTAAACATATGATTCATATTTCACTAATCAATAGCAATCATATCATAATATAATAAAACACTTGAAACACAACAACAACTAAATTCATTGTCTTTACAATAATAATAATACAATCAATCAGTGAATCATTGACTCAAATATCATCCAAACATTAACAACAACAACAACAGTGCCAACAAAACTAACTAAACGACTGCCATCACTATCAACAACAACGACAATGTCTTCACCATTATATCCATCACTCGAAGACATGAAAGTGGATCAAATGATTAAAGTAAGTGACGAAACAAACAATTTTTTTACCCATACATTAACCGCCAAATGGCGTTATAAATCATTTTTTAGTTTCATTTTGTTTTATCATATTTTGTTTGTTTATAATATAAACATTTGTCGTATCAATTAAATGACTGTTTAAAATATATATATATATATATATTAATGGATGTCTTGTATGTGTGATAATTCAGGCACAACAACGACCACCAATTGAACCTCTACATCATTACGCCAACACTGGATCATCGGCTGCACCGCCATCGGCACCCTATCCGACATTGGGCTCATCGACGACATCAGCGATTGGATCACCGATTTATCCCGAACTGAATGAGTGGATGGGTATGGATCTGACATCGCAGGAAGTGGCGGCCATCAAGAAGTACGCTGTGGTGGCACCGAACAATACAGCAGTGGCCATATCAACGCCGACAACAGTGGTAGGCACTACGCAAATGTTGGCACCCGTTTCGGGTACATCAGTTGGCTTATTGCGGGCCAATGTTACCCATGGTGTACGCGAAGTGGTTGTCTGCAAGGATGAGTCGTCGAAGATTGGCCTCAGAGTCAAAGATATCAATAAGGTTTTTGTTATATCACCGATGAAGTTGTTTTTATTACCGAATTAACAATTGATTTATTGTCTTTTAGGGAATCTTTGTTGTGTTTGTTCAGAACGGTACTCCGGCCGCTATGGTTGGCCTCCGATTTGGCGATCAAATATTGCAGATAAACGGGGAAAATGTGGCCGGATTTTCAACCGATAAAGTACACGACATTATCAAGAAGTGCGGTGTCAATGGTATTCATTTGGTGGTCAGAGATCGGCCATTTGAACGAGTGATTACATTGCATAAGGATAGTGCCGGCCATTGCGGCTTTACGTTCAAAAACGGTCGGATTAATGCCATTGTTAAGGACTCGTCGGCCGCCCGTAACGGTCTGCTAACTGAACATAACTTTTTGGAAATTAACGGCCAAAATGTTGTCGGCGTCGATGATAAAGAAATCCGATCGTTGATGGAGTCCTCGGGCAGTGTTATAACTTTGACAATAATGCCATCGATTATCTTCGACCATATGATGAAACAGTTTAGTATTTTATTTATTTATTTATTTTTTATTTACGGGTAAATCTAAATATTTATTTTTTATCAATTAATTTTGACAGAATGTCCACAAGTTTGGTGAAGAAACTGATGGATCACTCGATTCCCAACGTCTGAAATGACTGATTGAGTGATTTTTTAATTGAAATGATTTTATATTATTTTTTTGATATAATAATTATTATTTAATGAATCAAAAAAAACTTTATATAAAGTATATCTTCTCTATAGTTCTTAACGGTTTTTTTCAGATAAATTTTTAATTAAAAATATCTTAAATAAGTCATAATTATTATTATAATACTGTATTACCGTACTATCAATTTGTAATGTACCGTATGTTAAATGTATAAATACTATATTTTTGTGTTTTATTATTATTATTAAAATTTATTTCAATTTAATGATTGATTGATTATTATTATTATTTAAATTATCTAATTATATCCCAATAAAAATGGAGTATTGTTTAAATTATAATCAAAATTATTTTGTTTTTGTTTTATTTATTGATATCTTATGGAAATTTATCGCATTTATTTTTATTTATAAATGATTACCCAGTAATGTAAATAACAGTTTACCGGTACATGAGTTATCAATTTTTTTATCAATGATTTATATATTTAGATTTATGATAAATAAACAAAAAAAACTTATGATTACCAATATTATGTTATTTAGTGTATAAAACTACAATTACCGTAAGTAATCAATAGATTACTAGTTTTTTAAAAATAATTTTTAAATAAAATAATAATTTTTTTAGGTTAAAAATTATCATAATTAATATACCGTATTAAAAAAATATTTACCGGCTGTATAGTATACTATTAAATGCAATTATCTTTTATAATACTTATTTATTAATACAATTTATTAACTGTAATTTAATTATTATTATTATTGGGGATGTTTTTTTGTTGTTGATCTAAATATCATAAAATATTTTTATATTTATAAGTTTACCATAAATTAATTTTCAATCATTTTTTTCTCTTTGAGCTTATTTATAAATAAAGGTAATGTTTACAATATCTTAACTGTAAATATAGTTAACGAAAATATATTATCATAATTTAATTTAACATAAATATAAATCCATTTATATACTTTATATATATATATATAATTTAAATGCCAAAATATATGAGTCAATTAGGCTTCCATTCGGTAAGCTGTCCATCGAAGAAGATAATGGAAGTGGATGGCAATGGAACAATTGACTCGTATTTTATTGAATTGGGAAATTTGTACGAATGTGGTGTCGATTTGGTCGCCGCCGCCGAAGGTTTTGAATAGGCGGCTATGAATGTCTCGATATTAGCAAACAGTTTATTATTTGAATCCATCAGTTGTTTAAGTCTATTATAATCAAAAAGAGTTTTGTTTAGAAACAAAAACAAAATAAAAGGAAACAAATGATAATAATATGATAAATACTTGTCTGTCTCGAGTAGTTTGTTGGCCGACATTCGGCTGCAAACACTACGGTTAAGTGAGCGGTCAAACAATGGAATACCGAACTGACAGTCAAATAATGTCCAATTGTCGCCGGAATCGGTAGTTTCGTCATCATCGGCGTCGGCGGACGACTCTGTTTGATGGTCATCATTTGGTGGATACTTCAAGTTGATAAGCGTTATGTAACCGCATATACGGCTCAAATTGATGTGCGCGGACAGTGCCGTTACCGACGAATGACGTTCTAATGGATTGTTTGTATCGCTATCACTTGTATCAAGAAATGGTAGACTCAAATAGATGAGCTCAGAATCGGTCATATTGATACTGTTTTTCGGATAGGCCTGGACCAATACGGGGCTAAAAGTGGCCGATTCGTTGATGGCCATCAAAGCCGACGATATCGGTACAATACCCGGATCGCGAGCCCATGGTGTGATGAGTAGGGCTTCGTAGTTGACAAATATTTCGGGTAATTCGCTTAGGCGGACACCTTTGGATAGCAGCAGTGACGGCGGTCCCCACGATGTACACGAATAGATGAACAGTTTGAACCAAATTGAGTTGACCAGCGGTGAGGCACCGAAATAGGGTAACAAATCGCTAGTTATAACACGAGTTTCGTTACTCAAGGGTGCAACCGATATGAGGACACTGTAGTTACGCAATAGTAGTCTTTGACATGATTCGGGATCTAAATTCAATAGACTTTCGCAACGAATCAGATCCAAACCCAGACCTTTGTTTGCTGCGTTAGAGTCGACGGTGTTGTCTTCGATGATTAGCGATGAAGTGAGATCGGGATTGTGTCGTAGAAACTGTACGGTTCGGTACAGTTGCGAGGCGTGCATAAAATAACGTTGAGCTTCGCCGCCATCTTCATCGAGTTCCGAGTCACCAATTTTGGATAATTCAAGTAATAGACTATCAATGGATTCGTCGGCTAGTTTTCCCACTTCAAACATAGTTACTGCATGATTCTTGAGACCCGGAGCCAGATTACCCATCATCAGAAAGGCGGCCAGCGTTGAGTCGTATAATAGACCAATACGTTTGGTACCATTGGTTGGAGTGTTTGTTATCACATGATTGCTGTTGTTGTTGGTATTACTTTGTGCGGCAACTTTGGTCATCACTTCGGACGTGTCTGAAGCGGACGACGATTCAAATACATCGACACCTTCGCCGCCACAGTTGTTGTCAACTTCATCATCGGTTGGCAACGAACTGATAAATTTGGAAATGTCTTGTCGTTGACGCGATTTGTTCAATGATTTGTCACTACTATTACTACCGATAGTAGTGCTATTATTACTGACACAATCCCCATCAACACTAGTTGATGATAGTCTGACCGTTAATGATGATGTCCGCCACGTTTGATGCAAGTCTTCGGAATCAAAGTCAATATTCTTTTTGTATGCAAATCCTAGTCGACAGTACATCGATATTGCATTCTTAACGAGTGTTGAATCAATTTGAAGAACATTTGCCAATTCAGAGACAGTTGTCTTTTCATCGATTGATACAAATATCTTATACAATAGTGTCTCAAAGTAATCACCCGTCACTCGATTCATAACGAATCCTTCTAATGGAGGAATGTGTATGAGATCCGTGTCATCGATGGGTATATCAAAATAGATGAGTCCTTTCTGGTAGAGACTGCGGACATCGTTTTGATTCATTTCTCCTGATTTCAGTTTTGGCGCAAACGGATCGTCGGTAAGAATCCGGTCGATGATTGTCTTTTCGCTCGTAGTTACCATATATTTGACATCGTCTTCGGTAATGTAACCGGGATTTACTGTCCACCAGTAATCGATGACAATGTTGGCCAACGGCTTATTCGGTAGTAAATCTTTTAGCGGTTTACGTATCATTCCCAGGAACTTCTTCGACGATCGAAACTGATTCATCAAATCAATGTACTGATTGCGACCGATGCCCATCAATCGGAGACAATCGGCGGCCGTAAAGTTGGGTAAAGTATCGTAATTTTTCTCAGTCTCCAACAAATCACTAATCATTTGATTATAGTATTGAAACGGTGTTATCCTCATACCAGACACCTATCAAGTTGTTGTTGATAATCAACAACAAACGACAATTAAAATTAAGAAATTATTCATCTAAACAGGTCATCGGTGGTTCAACTAAACGAAAAACAAAAAACATACGATAATATCGGATAAATGATAGGGAAATAGCATATAATGTTGTCGACTATAGCGAAGTACTTCTTCGTAGTAAGTCTTCTGGCTTTTCTCGATGTGTTTAACTAATTGGATATCAATAGATAAAAAAAATATTGGGATCAGATTGTGATCAAAGATATCAATTTAATTAATATATCGTAAATACCTATATTCTTGCGATATCTCATCTGATTTTTAATATAAAAGTCAATGACTTTCTTGTCGTATTCATCACTGTTGCCAATACTCTGCAAATATATAGATATACAATATATGTTTGTCACCAATTGGATCTGTTAACAGATAATAATATACGACAAACCTGTTTGATATTGTCGGGCAACTTATGCCACGATATGTTTTTGGATATCAACTGATTAACCACTTCGTTGATGTCCATATCTGGTCAGTCGGTGATGATTGATGATGGGTTGGTTGATTGGATCAGATGATTGATAATATAGTTATCATTCAAACACCACAAAAAACTTATCGTTTGATTGCATTACATGTTATTTAATAATAATTATTATATTATTTATATTGTAATTAATAGTCAAAAACATTAGGTTTGTTATCAAAACAATGAGCTATTCATTGATAACATTATTACTATTATTATTGAAAATGTTTTCAATAGTTATGTAATAAAAAAATGATTATTTTAAAAATAAAAATTAATGTTTACAATAAAATTATATACTAATTAGTTAATAATAATTAATTATTTTTTTTAATTAGGATTTAAATTTTAAAACTAATATATACATAATTATTTATTTAATAATTTAATTAAAAAAAACTTTAATATATAGGAATTTACACACAAAATAAATTTAGTGTATATTGGAATGCATTTATTTAATTGATATAATTATTATTTCATGAAATTTTTTTTAATGTAAATTCAGACAATTTTTAAAAACTAAAAACATTTTTTTTTAAAGATAACTGTATATATATATATATATACCGGTATATTAATAAACTAAAGATAGATTTATAGACTAAAAAATTATTTTATATATAAATAATTTTCAACAACAAAAAAATTGCCAATAATTTTATCTATATTTTCGAAGTTTACTATTAAGTAGATCTAACTGTTTGTGTGCTAAGCAATCATCTTCGCCGACAGTTTTCAGACCTAATCCCCTATCAATCCATTTGATCGCTTCGTTAAACTTTTTCTGACTCATCAAAACATTTGTCATAAATAAGATGTTTTCTTTCCAATCGGGTCTCAGTTCGTGGGCTTTCATAAAGTGATTGAATGCGGCATCAAATGACGATTCGGGTACTTTCGAGAACAAAGCTGAGGCCACCTTACGCTCGACCCAACTGAGCTGCGATACCTCAAAACAAAACCGGCCCAACATATGATAGAGTGATGGATCGTCCGGTTTCAGTGCTAATGCAATGTCTAAGTGTTGTTTGAATTTGTTGCCGTTGGCTATCTTTTCTTTGGTGGCAATAAAATCGCTAAGTGAACCAATAGTTATGGCATACCTGAGCGCAATATAAATTTATATTTAATTAGTAGTACAATAAGTTCAAGGGATGTGCTGGTGGTGAACAACAGGAAACTAATGCTAACCATTTGTGACACTCGGCATTGCTTTCGTCGCATTCAATAGCTTTGGTCGCGTAGTCCAGGGCTTCAAATGATAAAGTCTTCTTTAGTTCAATATTGGACTCCTTCTGAGCGGACACTCCATACAAATACGTGGCTTTTGATAATCGCCACAACAGATCACCACAATTGGGATACTATTATTATTATCAGATAATTAGCGGTAATTTAAAAAAAACAATCAATAAATTTCAATAAAAAATATATTATATACTCGACACTAAAAAACCTATGATTATTACCTTCAATTGAATGTCGACTAATTGCTGATAAAGATCTCTCTTATTGGTTGTCGAGTCTTCAAGCAGTTGATCAAAATATCGGATCCATTCTTCTAATGACTTTTTTTCTTGTTTTATATAATTATTATTATCACTAATTTTAACTAAATTATTGCAACTATTTATTGATACATTCAATTCGTTATCGGTTTCACTGTAACAACAAAAACAAATAAAGAAATCAATTAATTAAGATATCATTTTAATACTCAAAATATAAGACAAGTCTCTCTCTCTCTCTCTCTCTCTCTCTTGTATGACACGGACACTAACCCTTCGGTAAAGTCGAAAAACTCTTCGTTATCATCAGTACTAACACTATTGTCGACCGGAGGCGGCGGCAACAGTAGCGGAGGTTCTGTCAATTGGCTATCGGTTTGGCACTCATTTAGCATATAATGTTGTCGTCGTTGTTGTTGTAGTAGTAGTTGATTATCATTAAAACATTGTACCAATGATTCTTCGGTCACATTATTGCCGCCGCCGACGACAACATGAGAGTCTGCGTAATGAAACAATTGGTGCCGCGAATGAAGCGGTGAATGTGATTGCGACTGAACAGCTGAGGCGTTCATCGATAGTATCTTCAGATCGTTTACTTCTTTCTTCAATTCCTCAATACTGTTGGTCAGTGTTTGCATTTGATCCGTAAGCTGTCGATTGGTCGACAAATGTGTATAATGAGTGTACAGACCGCCGACACCGATAGCAACGCCACAGCCGACAGCAGCCAACAGCGATAACCGGTCTTTCGATATCATATCCATCAGCAGGTTTGTGACCATCCAGTCCAGCGATAACTCTCGCGACAGCTTCGGCTGTGACACACTGTCTGACCAATTGATGAGATATTTTTGCTGTTTGTTTATCACTAGGGGTTTGATATGATATGTAAACTCAACAGTGGTATCGATCGATAATGTTATGACCAGTAGATGGTGGCCGCTATCATCGGCAGGTGTCCACACACACACAGTTGAGTTGCACCCGTCCACTACCCGTCGGCGATAATATATCCTATAATATTATGTTATATGAATTGGCAATCAATTAGTAGTCATAATGTATTTATAAACAAAACAACATTTTATTTATTAATTATATGACAACAAAACACTGCTTTAAACCGGCTTTTCATACATTCATTCAATTATTATTTACTGTATTTTTTCAGTCAATCAATGCATTCAATAATAATAAAAACATTTATAAAATGATTGCCTTTTTTTCAATGAATTTCTATTACAGTATTATTATTATTATTATTATTACAGTACTTATAGACAGATAGATATGATATACTGTTATTAGAGAGTAAAAACATGAGATAAACATTACGTATAGTACAGTACAGTATAATACTGTATAATACTGTATAATATTATTATAATTGACTACTGTTTTTGTTTAACTGTTAAATCAATATTTTTTTTAATATTGTTTTAGTAGCTAATTATAATAATATTTTATATGATAAAAATAATAGATTTTTTTGTAACATTAATTTTATGAGACATTAATACTATATATATATATATATTTTCCTTTAAAAATATATGATATTTTATTGTATTTATTTTTTATTATTATTGCGTTTATATGAAAAATATAAAAATACAGTAAATTTGTTTAGTATTAATATTGAATGAATGAATAATACACTATATTAATAGTTAGATATATTTAAAAAATAATTATTATTATATGGGTTATTATTTTTTTAGTAAAATATTTTTTCCCAGCCATTTATCAATATAAATAAATATTATACATCAGATAAAATTAATTTATTTAATTATAATATTTATATATAGTTTTTTTGTGTGATATTTGAAATTATGTTATTTTAGAATTTTCATTAAAAAACATTAATAGGAAAATAAATAAAGAATAGTATATTAAAATTATTTTATTAAATAACGATGAAACATTTTATTTAATAAATAAATAATTTAATTTTTCTAAATATTAATAACATATAATTTAATTTAAATTCATATTATATTAGAAATCTATTATAAATTTTATAATAACTATTTTAGATATAAATAAATTTTAGCTAATAAAAAAAATTAACAATTAAATATATCTATTAAAATTATTTTCTAACTATTTGGATTAAATTAATCATATTTTAAATTATTGTAACAGTTTGTATTGGAGTTTTCAAGGACTAATTTTTCAATAAATATATAAATAAAAACATTAATTATATTTAAAATCAAATAACAAATGTTTTTTTTTATAAAATAAATAGTGTTTGTGTTAGTTTTTTGTTGTAATATTTAGTTTTAAATACAATTTAACATTAAAATAATGCCATATTTACTAATATCAACACAAATACGTTTGGTTTGTAAATAATAATTTACTTTTGTTTAAATAAATAAATTTAAAACTATTTTATTAAAATTTTTTAATTTAACAATTGACAGGAATGTGGGCCCACTATAGTGGGCGACTCGCTTAGCGATCCCCAACTTATGGCTAAATTAAATGCCATAAAGTGTACACAAATGGGCAATAAATTGTATGTATATATTGTTTTGAATTTAATTAATTAATTATCTATTGTGAAGACAGTGAGGAATGGCGTACTGATGACTGTCCACGTATTGTATTGGATAAACTCGATGGCATGGGATATACCGTTATATCGATGACAGGGGTCGGTCAGACATGTTGTTGGACTCTATATAAGCCAATTGATAGTCAATAAACTGATGTTTGTTTTGTTGATTAATAAATTTAATTTTTTTTAATTACAGAATTTGTTAAAAATTTATAATTTATTTTTAGTTTATTGTAAAGTTAACAAAAATAATATAATACATTTTTATTGATTTCTATTTAGTAATTGTATGTATATGAAATAGTAATTTTTTAACAATATACTGTAAGTAATTTAATTTAACAAAAGTTATGCTTATTAGAATATATTGTATAGTAAACTGTATATAATTAGTCATTTATGGTTTAAGTATCAAACGGAAAGCACTGATAGATAAGTTAGTATCATTATTGTAGGTTTGAATACCAGTACTGCTATTTGTAAAATAATTTTTATTATAAGTTAAAAGTTTTAATATTTTAATACTAGAAAACAATTAATAGTAGAGTATATAAGCCATGATTGTGGAGTATCTGGTGTTTGAATGGGTAGATCCTCATCCAGTTTAATGAGTCCGATGTCATAATCTTTTGATGATTTTCCATATGAAGGATACAACAAATGTTTGACCACACAATAGGACCGACCCTTATGTCGCTTATCTAGTATTGCCGGATAAACAGCAATGCTTTCTATGTCATCCTTACTGAGAGGATATAGTATATGAAATAATTGTATTAAATATTAATTATTGTAAAAACTTTATATTTGTAGTAATAATACTTTAATAGGTGAGCGCAGATAATAATCCATCTATTGTTAAATATAGTACCGGTTCCCATAAAACTGTTATTATTTCAACAATTTATTAAGTTTTAAATATATTATTTTTTTTTTGATTAATAATTTATTTTTTTAACTATACAATTGTGTCCAAATCGATGGTTTTATATTAACTTCAATGAAGACAATCCACGGCAGTTCTCCCGGTTTGGCCGGTCGTCCGTTTTGTATATCCATTGTGTCATTTGATGACCACTTGAAAAAGTTTTTTGTAGTCAACAGTGACTGCCGTCCGATACCACACGTGTCGAGCGTTACGTTCGGATAGTGTTTGATCTGTGAGTGAATGCAAACACTGAACGACACCAATACTGATGACAACAATACTATTAATCAAAATAATTATATTAAATAATAGAAATGTATTGAATATAAAAGTTTATTAAACTTTTATTTATTGAAAAATAATTATATAAAATATTAACAAACATAAGTTTAACAACATTTTCATTATGATATCCTATAAAATTTTTAATTATATTTCAATTCTAATCTAATAAAAGTTATTAATACTAATACTTATATTAACAATATATTATATACAAAAACTATTTAAACTAATATTATTATTATAAATTTAATACTATAATTAATATTAATAATTTTTTAATTTTATTATTAATAATATAATTTTTAAGAATTATTCTATTTTTAAAAAAACAATAAACACTTTAAACCAACAAATAGTTTTTTAATTTCTTAATTGATTATTAAAACTTGAAAATGTTATTCAAATATACTTGTATTGTATTAAAAGTTTTTATTTCATAAATATTATATTACATTTTTTCTGTTTTAATAATTATTACGTAAATTAAATAAAATAAAATTATTTAAAAAAAACTTAAAAAACATTAAAATTATGTATATATTTACACATTTTTGTATTATATGATTGTATGTAATATTTTTTTAAATTTAACAAAACTGTTAGATTAAGTTTTTTAATAGATTTATTTCTAAATAATTATTTTAAATATATATATATATAATATTAACTAATATGACTTGAAATATTGAAAAAATAAATTTTGTTATGCATTTAAAATAGGGTTGCGAAAGGGGGGTAGGGGGGATCATTAAGGCCATCATTTTCATTATGATTTCCTATTAAAATTTAGTTGTATTTCAATCCTATACTAATAAAAGTTATTAATATTTTTACAATAAAAAACTATTATTTAAATTACTATTATTTTATAAATTTTCATACTTTAATTATTTATTTTAAATATTAATACTTGAATAATCTAAATTTATAATATTGTTTAAAAATTAACAAATAGTTTTAAATTTCTTAATTGATTATTGAATACTTAAAAAAGATATTTATATTATTATATTGTATTACAAAGTTTTATAAAATATATTTTATTACCTTTTTTCTCTTTTTATAATTATTACAAAATAATGTAATTTTAAAAACTTGATAAACAATTAATTTTTTATTTACATATTTATGAATTAAGATTATATAAAATATTTTTTATTTATCAAAACTATACTATAGTTTTCTAAAAGCATCATATTTTTTGTTGATTTATTTTTAAAGAATTATATATATATATATAACATATAATATTAAATAAAGATATTATAAAAATGATATTTTATTACAATTATGACTAATAGTAATATTTACAAAAACATTAGAAAATTTGTTAACAAAAATTTTAAACAAATAATTTTGTTTATAAAAAATCAATTAATATTATTAATATGAATTTTTCATAAACAATAAGTTGTTTTACAGTAATATTATATTTAAAAAAACTATACTATTATTATGAGTTAGTGAAATATAAGAAATATTTCATAATATAACTAATGAATATTTATAAATGTATTGATATATAAATGTAGTTAAGAAAAAATGTTTATAAAAATATGAGAAAAATTGTAAACTAAAATTATAAACAAATAATTTTGTTATTTTTTCAAATATCAATTAATAGTACGGTATTTATAATCACAATCAATATTGTTTTAATAGTATATGTTTTTACAGTATAAATGAAATGTGTATAAATTAAATACATAAAATTATATAAGTATTTAGTATTCAATTATCATATATAATACTTGTATACATTGTATGTTAGTGTTTTATATTAGATAATATATGCAATATTATTAAATTATTAAAAAAAAGTTATTTAAAAAAATAATTCATATTATCAATTAATCATAATATATATTTTTTAAAAGTTTTTAGTTATTAAAAATTATAAATATGTTGTTTAATATCACAATTGAAGGTACAGTAAATAATAATAATATAATAATATTGTATTTGTCTTTGTATTTACAAAATTATTAAAAGTAATAAAAGTTATTTAAATTTTTTTTTAAGATTTCATTAATGTTATGATTAATACAATTGGTTTTATTATTATCACATCCACTGACAGTCAGACAACACTTACCGATAATTATACACATATTAATTCAAACATAACAACAACTGTGGGTAAGTAATTGAATTTATTTAAAAAGTATATTTATAAGTAAAATGATAATAATTTATAAAGTTAGTAAAAAATTGTAAAAATTTTAGACTGGATTATTAAAACAAATACTATCAATGTTTTATATATTACATCACAACTATTAATACTATTAATATATATCATGTAAACAATTCTCTCTCTCTCTCTCTTACTATATGTATATATATATATACACTCTTCTATATAAATATATATATATATATATATAACATTTAATAAGTATTGTACAGTATTTTTATTAAATAAATCAAAATACAAATTTAATAATTAGTAAAATATTTCCCATTGTTTACTATTAGTATATTAATATCAAATTAATTTTCAACTATAATATCAAACTATTATTAATTAGTATACTATACTACATATATACTGTATACGGTATATACTGTATATATATATAAATTTATATTAATAAACTAAATTTATTTAATCATAACAATACATATTACATAATATTCAATAACTTTGACTAAATTAATAGTTTAGTATCATTTGAGAAAATATGTGACAAATGTTAAACAAAACAAAAATCAAAAACAATTAAGTTATGATTTTTTTTTGAATAATTCAATTAATAGTTTCAATTTATATGTAAATAAAAATTTGTTTGTAATAAGTATTATTAATATATATATATATATATATATATATATAAATGTATAATGCATCAAATATTGTATTATTATTATTACTGATGTATAGTATTAAGTAGATATTACTAATAATATGTTAAATTTAACTGAATAGTATTCAACTTATTTTTAAAGCTAATATAAAATTAATATATAAAGTTGTTTAAATATTATAATACAATAGTTTTTTTTATATCTAAATGAAATCTACAATCTGTATAATATGAAAGGAAACTTATAAATTATAAATGAATTAAAATAAAAATATTAGATAATAATAATTTTAATTTATTGCACTTATTATTTTTTTCTAAATATATATTTCTTAGAGATAATGAATATAAATAATGAATCACAATATCAAACACTTAATAACTTATGGATAACATCAACGATTGGCACAATTATTCAAACTATAGACCAATTGAATCAAAACATAACAACTGATGGTTAGTTATTATTAAAGTATATTTTTTAAAAATATATATTAATTTTTGTTATTTATTAAAATAATTTTTTTTAAACAGCAAATGCGTCAAATATTACCAATGAATTAAATACCATATCAACTATTGGTTATACATTTACCGATACTGTAAAACAAATTAACTCAAATATAACTGCGGGTAAATTAAATATTTTTATATTCAATGAACTATTTAAATTAAATTTAAAAATATCCATGAGTTAAATATCACATCAACTATCCGTACAATTATAGATAATGTCACACAAATTATCACAACTACAGCACCTTTATGTAAGAAATTTATTTTATAATAATTATACTGTTAATTATGTAATCAAATAATTAATTTTTTAAAAGTAATTATTGATGAACCAATTACTGTCATTACTATTGCCGTTTGCATTGTAATGGTATTAATGTTTGTATCGGCGATAATAGTTGTCATCATTTATCGCACACAAAAAGTCAACAAAAACACAGTAATGACTACTGAATGGTATTATATGGACAACACTTGCGGACTAACTGTTAGTGATAGCAACGATCAGAGATATGATTTGATTCAACCGTTTGATAACAATAACATCAGATGTGGACCAAACACTTTGAATAGACTTCAGTTACGATATCAACGACAACAACATCTGATTGAGAAATCAAAGGAATTAATAAAACAAAAACATTTTTATAGAGAGTATTATACTATTTAAAAGTTTTAATTTTTATCATTATTATTAGTGAACTATCAAATCAATTAATATGTTAACAAAAGTTTTTTAATACAATATAAAAAATATGTGTAATTATATATAAAATTGGTGTTTGATTATGTTTTTGATTATAACAATATACTCTATCGTCTAATATAATTAATAGAAACTAATTGCTAATAGTGTTTATAAATTTATGTTCAATCTATGTATATATTTAATAATATTTTTTTATTGAATTTCAGTTTTAATTTTAAATTATTTGATTTTTATAACTTTTAAACAACTATTATATATTTACTAAATAATTTTAAATAATTTTTTTACCATAAAATAATAGTAATAAATATAGTCAACATTACAATATAATTATTGTTTAATATTTTATATTTGTGTCTAGAAAATATTTGAAATTAATTGTTCAAATAATAATAATAAATAGTGTTTTTATTCTAAATATAATTATAAAAAATAATGTTTGGCTAATATATAAATATATATAAATTCAAAATAAATATTTTTTATTTAATTAATATTAATACAACAAAAATACAGCAAATTTGTTTAATTATATCTTAATTAATATAATGTAAAGTAGATTTATATACAATAAATTATAATGAAATAAAATTTAGTTTAAAATTCAAAAAAAATTATTTAATTTATATCTGTAGAATAGTATAACAAGAAAATAACTTTTTTTTTATAAAATTAAAAAAAAATTATATAAGATAAATGCTTAAATATATTTAAAAATAATTAAGTTAAACAAAAATATAGAAATATTTAAAAAAAAATTAATTTCAAAACTAATATTATTAATAAGTTAATTAGTTATTTAAAACAGTACTAACAATCCAATTGACACAATTGGATACTCGTATAAAACCCATAAATGAATTTGGATTCAGATTAAGACAGTCGCCAACCATTGGCTGATTGTTTATACCCCGGACTACACCAATAAGTACGGCCCGATTCATACCATCACTACTACCACTACCACTACTACTACTACTACTACCCAAAACATATTGGATTAATGGTCCGCCAGAATCACCCTAATTATATAAATATATATATATATATACACTATTGATATGTAAAAAAAATTATATAAATTTTGATGAGACATACCTGACAAACACCTATTCCTCTATCAACCGGATATCTGAAAGCTTCGATCCGATTATTAGTTGATTTCTGAAACTTTAACCAACCCGTACGCAATGGTCCCGTATTGCTGACTCCCGGATCTGTTTTACCAAAAGCAGCAAACAATGCCAACTCTTCATCGATGTTAACACCGTGTCTGTTGTCTGGCAAACAAATACCGTTTACCGTATAATACCTGCCATCCAGTGATCTGGTAATCCCTATATGACTATTAAGTTTCAATAGTGCGATGTCATACAACTCATTATTAATCGTATAGTTTGTATGTATGAACCACTGATGGACACCATATGTATGGCTTTTATCTGTCTTATCCTGAACTGTACGCAAAGTCATTGTCCGATCGGTACTTATATATAATTATTATATTTAATATATATATATATTACATAATTACATAATTAAGATTAAATTAATAAATAAAGTATATTACATACTATGTACAATATATATATATACATATATATATACAGTATCCATAAATTATACATAGTATAATAGTATTAGACTGACCACCCATACAGGTGACGCCTGTATTATACAGGAATCATGGGTCTGATATACAGGTGACAGGAAAGGGGTTAACATGTATAATAAAATATAGTTTTAAAATATGTAAAACTAATTGATTAATAAAAGTATAAAATAACTATGAATTAAGTTTTGTTAGTAAAAAATTGCTTATATTTTTAATATAGAGTTTAAATAATTTAAATATTATAAAAAATTTATAAATATTTATAAAATTGTTCGTATCTAATATAAAAGATAAATTTCAACTTTTTATATAAATATAGTATCTAAATTAAATTTTTTAAAATTTATATTATAAAAATATACGAATATATAGAGTTATTTAAGTACAGGTTAACATACAGGAATATAATATTTAATATACAGGAAAATATAGGTGAAAATCATATATTTTATACTATTATACAGGTTTACTAATAAATTGGGTGGTCAGTCTAATACTATATAATATACATTAGTATATATATATAAATTATCTAATATATAATATATATACAATATATATATAAATCTAAATTTAAAAAAATAATTAATATATATTTACTGTATTTTCAATATACGTCTAATATTTTAGTAACAAAATGTTAAATTATAATAGTTTTAAATTTATGTAATCAATTGATTATATTTCTATAGTATAGTATATTACAGTATATACCGTATACAATGTGCTGCTGTTATAATCCAATTGGTGTTTAGTATAACACCCGTACAATGATTCCTATAAAATATTTCAACAAAAATATTAAATAAGTTATTTAAGTATAGTTTTGTTTTAGATAATTTATATAATTAAATTTTAACATTAAAATACAATAATGTATTACAAACCACATTAATGGGATAAACCCTAAAAAATAATATGTAGTTGTGATGAATACAATCCATGGCCACTCTCCCGGTTGAGCTAACCGTCCGTTTTGTACACTTGTAGTCACATTTGATGACCACTTGAAACAGTTTTTTGTAGTCAACAGTGACTGCCGTCCGATACCACACGTGTCGAGCGTTACGTTCGGATAGTGTTTGATCTGTGAGTGAATGCAAACACTGAACGACACCAATACTGATGACAACAATACTATTAATCAAAAATAATTATAATATTTAAAATAGAAATGTATTTTAATTTTAGTTTTTATTAATTTTAAAAAATACTATAAAATAATAACAAACATAATTGTAGCAAAATTTTCATTTTGATTTCTTATAAAATTTAGTTGTATTTCAATCCTATTCTAATAAAAGTTATTAATATTTTTACAATAAAAAGCTATTATTTAAATTAATATTATTTTTACAAATATAATACTTTAATTATTTATTTTATCAATAAATATTAATACTCGAATAGTGTAAATTTATAATATTGTTTAAAAATTAAATAATAAAACTTAACAAATAGTTTTAAATTTCCTAATTGATTATTAATACTTAGAAAAAATATTTATATTGTATTACAAAGTTTAAAAACTATATTTTATTACTTTATAAAAAAACAAAAATCTTGTGTTTGAAATGTAAAATTAATATAAAGTTATATATATTAACAGTTATAATAAATTCAGATTATAAAAAGTTATTAATACTTTATAAATAATAGCATTACAAAAAAACAAATATTTTATTACAAGATAAAAGATGTTATCAAATCACTAAAATTATACAAAATGAATGAAATGTTAACATTATGTTTGTATATTTATTTACTTAACTTTAAATTAAAACAAAGCCTATTTTAAAACATATTATTTAAATATATAAATAATATCAAATATGGTAAAATTTACACTATTGATTTTAATAGGACACTTGATGATGCTCTGATACCGCAGTCTGATCTGACACCAGTCAGATCTGACTCAGATTCAGCTCTGACACCGCAGTCAGCTCTGACACCGCAGTCAGCTCTGACACCGCAGTCAGATCTGACACCGCAGTCAGATCTGACACCGCAGTCAGCTCTGATACCGCAGTTAGATCTGACACCAGTCAGATCTGACTCAGATTCAGCTCTGACACCGCAGTCAGATCTGACACCGCAGTCAGATCTGACACCGCAGTCTGATCTGACACCGCAGTCTGATCTGACACCGCAGTCTGATCTGACACCGCAGTCTGATCTGACACCGCAGTCTGATCTGACACCGCAGTCTGATCTGACACCGCAGTCTGATCTGACACCGCAGTCTGATCTGACACCGCAGTCTGATCTGACACCGCAGTCTGATCTGACACCGCAGTCTGATCTGACACCGCAGTCAGATCTGACACCGCAGTTAGATCTGACACCAGTCAGATCTGACTCAGATTCAGCTCTGACACCGCAGTCAGCTCTGACACCGCAGTCAGATCTGACACCGCAGTCAGATCTGACACCGCAGTCAGCTCTGATACCGCAGTTAGATCTGACACCAGTCAGATCTGACTCAGATTCAGCTCTGACACCGCAGTCAGATCTGACACCGCAGTCAGATCTGACACCGCAGTCTGATCTGACACCGCAGTCTGATCTGACACCGCAGTCTGATCTGACACCGCAGTCTGATCTGACACCGCAGTCTGATCTGACACCGCAGTCTGATCTGACACCGCAGTCAGATCTGACACCGCAGTCAGCTCTGATACCGCAGTTAGATCTGACACCAGTCAGATCTGACTCAGATTCAGCTCTGACACCGCAGTCAGCTCTGACACCGCAGTCAGATCTGACACCGCAGTCAGATCTGACACCGCAGTCAGCTCTGATACCGCAGTTAGATCTGACACCAGTCAGATCTGACTCAGATTCAGCTCTGACACCGCAGTCAGATCTGACACCGCAGTCAGATCTGACACCGCAGTCTGATCTGACACCGCAGTCTGATCTGACACCGCAGTCTGATCTGACACCGCAGTCTGATCTGACACCGCAGTCTGATCTGACACCGCAGTCTGATCTGACACCGCAGTCTGATCTGACACCGCAGTCTGATCTGACACCGCAGTCTGATCTGACACCGCAGTCTGATCTGACACCGCAGTCTGATCTGACACCGCAGTCTGATCTGACACCGCAGTCTGATCTGACACCGCAGTCAGATCTGACACCGCAGTCAGATCTGACACCATAGTCAGCTCTGACACCGCAGTCAGATCTGACACCATAGCCAGCTCTGACACCGCAGTCAGATCTGACACCGCAGTCAGCTCTGACACCGCAGTCAGCTCTGACACCGCTAGGTTAGGTTAGGTTAGGTTAGGTTAGGTTAGGTTAGGTTAGGTTAGGTTAGGTTAGGTTAGGTTAGGTTAGGTTAGGTTAGGTTAGGTTAGGTTAGGTTAGGTTAGGTTAGGTTAGGTTAGGTTAGGTTAGGTTAGGTTAGGTTAGGTTAGGTTAGGTTAGGTTAGGTTAGGTTAGGTTAGGTTAGGTTAGGTTAGGTTAGGTTAGGTTAGGTTAGGTTAGGTTAGGTTAGGTTAGGTTAGGTTAGGTTAGGTTAGGTTAGGTTAGGTTAGGTTAGGTTAGGTTAGGTTAGGTTAGGTTAGGTTAGGTTAGGTTAGGTTAGGTTAGGTTAGGTTAGGTTAGGTTAGGTTAGGTTAGGTTAGGTTAGGTTAGGTTAGGTTAGGTTAGGTTAGGTTAGGTTAGGTTAGGTTAGGTTAGGTTAGGTTAGGTTAGGTTAGGTTAGGTTAGGTTAGGTTAGGTTAGGTTAGGTTAGGTTAGGTTAGGTTAGGTTAGGTTAGGTTAGGTTAGGTTAGGTTAGGTTAGGTTAGGTTAGGTTAGGTTAGGTTAGGTTAGGTTAGGTTAGGTTAGGTTAGGTTAGGTTAGGTTAGGTTAGGTTAGGTTAGGTTAGGTTAGGTTAGGTTAGGTTAGGTTAGGTTAGGTTAGGTTAGGTTAGGTTAGGTTAGGTTAGGTTAGGTTAGGTTAGGTTAGGTTAGGTTAGGTTAGGTTAGGTTAGGTTAGGTTAGGTTAGGTTAGGTTAGGTTAGGTTAGGTTAGGTTAGGTTAGGTTAGGTTAGGTTAGGTTAGGTTAGGTTAGGTTAGGTTAGGTTAGGTTAGGTTAGGTTAGGTTAGGTTAGGTTAGGTTAGGTTAGGTTAGGTTAGGTTAGGTTAGGTTAGGTTAGGTTAGGTTAGGTTAGGTTAGGTTAGGTTAGGTTAGGTTAGGTTAGGTTAGGTTAGGTTAGGTTAGGTTAGGTTAGGTTAGGTTAGGTTAGGTTAGGTTAGGTTAGGTTAGGTTAGGTTAGGTTAGGTTAGGTTAGGTTAGGTTAGGTTAGGTTAGGTTAGGTTAGGTTAGGTTAGGTTAGGTTAGGTTAGGTTAGGTTAGGTTAGGTTAGGTTAGGTTAGGTTAGGTTAGGTTAGGTTAGGTTAGGTTAGGTTAGGTTAGGTTAGGTTAGGTTAGGTTAGGTTAGGTTAGGTTAGGTTAGGTTAGGTTAGGTTAGGTTAGGTTAGGTTAGGTTAGGTTAGGTTAGGTTAGGTTAGGTTAGGTTAGGTTAGGTTAGGTTAGGTTAGGTTAGGTTAGGTTAGGTTAGGTTAGGTTAGGTTAGGTTAGGTTAGGTTAGGTTAGGTTAGGTTAGGTTAGGTTAGGTTAGGTTAGGTTAGGTTAGGTTAGGTTAGGTTAGGTTAGGTTAGGTTAGGTTAGGTTAGGTTAGGTTAGGTTAGGTTAGGTTAGGTTAGGTTAGGTTAGGTTAGGTTAGGTTAGGTTAGGTTAGGTTAGGTTAGGTTAGGTTAGGTTAGGTTAGGTTAGGTTAGGTTAGGTTAGGTTAGGTTAGGTTAGGTTAGGTTAGGTTAGGTTAGGTTAGGTTAGGTTAGGTTAGGTTAGGTTAGGTTAGGTTAGGTTAGGTTAGGTTAGGTTAGGTTAGGTTAGGTTAGGTTAGGTTAGGTTAGGTTAGGTTAGGTTAGGTTAGGTTAGGTTAGGTTAGGTTAGGTTAGGTTAGGTTAGGTTAGGTTAGGTTAGGTTAGGTTAGGTTAGGTTAGGTTAGGTTAGGTTAGGTTAGGTTAGGTTAGGTTAGGTTAGGTTAGGTTAGGTTAGGTTAGGTTAGGTTAGGTTAGGTTAGGTTAGGTTAGGTTAGGTTAGGTTAGGTTAGGTTAGGTTAGGTTAGGTTAGGTTAGGTTAGGTTAGGTTAGGTTAGGTTAGGTTAGGTTAGGTTAGGTTAGGTTAGGTTAGGTTAGGTTAGGTTAGGTTAGGTTAGGTTAGGTTAGGTTAGGTTAGGTTAGGTTAGGTTAGGTTAGGTTAGGTTAGGTTAGGTTAGGTTAGGTTAGGTTAGGTTAGGTTAGGTTAGGTTAGGTTAGGTTAGGTTAGGTTAGGTTAGGTTAGGTTAGGTTAGGTTAGGTTAGGTTAGGTTAGGTTAGGTTAGGTTAGGTTAGGTTAGGTTAGGTTAGGTTAGGTTAGGTTAGGTTAGGTTAGGTTAGGTTAGGTTAGGTTAGGTTAGGTTAGGTTAGGTTAGGTTAGGTTAGGTTAGGTTAGGTTAGGTTAGGTTAGGTTAGGTTAGGTTAGGTTAGGTTAGGTTAGGTTAGGTTAGGTTAGGTTAGGTTAGGTTAGGTTAGGTTAGGTTAGGTTAGGTTAGGTTAGGTTAGGTTAGGTTAGGTTAGGTTAGGTTAGGTTAGGTTAGGTTAGGTTAGGTTAGGTTAGGTTAGGTTAGGTTAGGTTAGGTTAGGTTAGGTTAGGTTAGGTTAGGTTAGGTTAGGTTAGGTTAGGTTAGGTTAGGTTAGGTTAGGTTAGGTTAGGTTAGGTTAGGTTAGGTTAGGTTAGGTTAGGTTAGGTTAGGTTAGGTTAGGTTAGGTTAGGTTAGGTTAGGTTAGGTTAGGTTAGGTTAGGTTAGGTTAGGTTAGGTTAGGTTAGGTTAGGTTAGGTTAGGTTAGGTTAGGTTAGGTTAGGTTAGGTTAGGTTAGGTTAGGTTAGGTTAGGTTAGGTTAGGTTAGGTTAGGTTAGGTTAGGTTAGGTTAGGTTAGGTTAGGTTAGGTTAGGTTAGGTTAGGTTAGGTTAGGTTAGGTTAGGTTAGGTTAGGTTAGGTTAGGTTAGGTTAGGTTAGGTTAGGTTAGGTTAGGTTAGGTTAGGTTAGGTTAGGTTAGGTTAGGTTAGGTTAGGTTAGGTTAGGTTAGGTTAGGTTAGGTTAGGTTAGGTTAGGTTAGGTTAGGTTAGGTTAGGTTAGGTTAGGTTAGGTTAGGTTAGGTTAGGTTAGGTTAGGTTAGGTTAGGTTAGGTTAGGTTAGGTTAGGTTAGGTTAGGTTAGGTTAGGTTAGGTTAGGTTAGGTTAGGTTAGG